ACGTCGTGGTGGGAAGATGTTTGAGTGGTGGTACGTACCTGAGTGTAGCGCTAAGTCCAGATATAAAAACAACAGGCGCAAATTCGGCGCTTCGCCCGCACTGGAACTAATCGTCGAAGCCGGCGCGCATCACGGAAATCGAACGCGGCCGCCGCCGAGAGTCGCACACGCACGGACTTCCGCACCTCCTGCCGCGGCGATTAACATAGCCGACTGACGGCGCCGCCGCGCTCTATTATCAACTCCATCGCGCGTCGCCCTTTAGTCTTTTTCCGCGCTTTTCCTTCCTGCCTTCGCGACGAATTACCTTGGCGGCAGCGACGCTAGCGCTGCATTCATCGGCCGGCCGCGGATCGGGGCCGGAACGCGTCCGCACAGAACTGTTCGCCTCGCATCCGGCGCACTGGCGGCACACTATCGATGTTTACTCATCCGCTCCGGCGAGCGCGGGCGGCGAGATCATCGCCGGCGACATGCTCACCACGCACCGCTCGCGACGATTGCTATTTTCGATGCGGAGCGGCGCAAGAAAAACGTCGATCGCTCGTGGCGGGCGAGGTGTGTGCGTCGGGTCGGTGTGTGCGTCTTCGGAGCGCCGCTGGGCCTCCGCATCCGTGGCACGAATACAACTGACGTCGGTCGGCGGCTTCGGTACGAAATTGACGCAGCCGCGACGCGACGCCGCCCCTTTCTCGATGCGTTATACAGCGGCGCGCGGACGCCGTCGCGCTGCGATGTGTTTTCGCGATCTTCGCGCCGACATATCGCAGTCGTGCATTGTCCTGCATACTGCACTCGGCGTGCAAGTGGCTAATGATTTACCCTCCCCGTTTTAATTTCCTCACGACCCACGTGAAAAAATCTATTTTCCACGATTAATTAACACAGATCCACACAGCTAGAAAGAGGAAGACCGTGGTTTGCTTTCTTTTCCAACGCGCGTATGGTGAACCTGTAGGATGTAGACCTTGGTTAACTTGTTAAGGCGCTATAAATTACCGAAAACGCCTTGTTCGTGCCCGCAAAGTGGTGTGAAGAAAATGGACTACCGCGACCGCGATTCTTTTCTTCTTCATTTTCTTTTATCGTCGCACGCCGCTCCGCGTGCTCATAATTCCTATAATCTATTCACTGCTATTGCCATAATTTCACATTCACCGGCCATCGATCATCGAGCCAAAGTATAGATCGGAAAATAACATTCTCGGCTATCTGAGATGATTGCGTAATCGACGCACTTCATTCCGTTGAACCCAAATTTTCAATTTGTGGCCATTACCATCGTGCGCCCAATTGAATGCTCGTGTTTAACAGGCTCAAATATGTTAAATCAAATAAATTCCAAGTAGGTCTAGACGCAATTGTAGAAATTCCCAGCATGGTACTCAAATCAATATGGCCCTTCAAGCTGGAATATTGAATTATCAAGCGCGCAAAAGATTGAAATTGGAAAAATCGAAAACGCGAATTAAAGCGGAGAAAAAGTGTCGCAGGTCGTCGAGGGCGGCGAAAAGGTGAGCGTGTGCCGGTGTGAAATCATTTCCTGTAGCGTTTTCATCCGCCCTTTATTTCGTGCCGCCGATGCTCGCAGCCGCCGCCGTTGCGTTTCGTTCTTTTTGATATACACGCGCAGGAAATAATTTGTATTAGATTTGCTGACGCCACTGGAGGCTGTTGTGGAATAGGCAGCTAGGCCTTTTCCCTAGGGGGGCGGCTCGAATGCCTGCAGCGAGTTAGATTGATAATTCGATGTTTAAACAATGCCTAATTTCCTTGCACAATGCGTTCTCTCGAGATGTGATTAATTCTAACCAATTTACCGCACAAATCGGCAGAGTTATGAGAGAATTCAGTGAACAGTGGGCGAGGAAATGTTGAGTTCACATATATATTTAGATTTAGCACCATCTGAAGCCAAATTATATAACTATAATATGATAAAATGCCCATATTAACTTTTAACACTAATTTTACACTCTTTAACATATATTTTGACAACAAAAAGTAGTCTATGTGCTTTTCCATGGTTAAAACTATCCTGATGCAAAAATTGATCAAAATTGATTCAGTGGTTTACGCATAATCGTGTCACAAACAAACTACTGTAAATAAATTCGTGAGGAATTTTTAAATTTTATTGCCAAGCTTTTAAATAACGCTGAAAGCCAGCAATATATATTTAAAGTGCATTTAGCGTAATCCCCTCAAAAACAATGCATTGCTAAACGGCGGAAAACGATGTGATTTGATGGAAATCACAGTGACATTCGATCCATAACGTCACAAAGTCACGAATCGTCAAAGTTGAAAACGTCGCGCGAGGCCATGCTTAATACATAAATTGAGATTGATGCGATTACTCTCTGGTTTCATTGTAAATATGTAATAGCCGATTTCGATTTAGCCTAATGTAATATCGAGCGACAGTCGCAGGCGGCGGCGGCGGTGGCGGCAACAGCACGGCAAAGCGCCCGAATGCATATTGATGGCAAACCGCGCGCGCCGAAATCATCGAGTTCGATTGATGTGTTTATTCTGTTTAAACCGATTAAGAAAAGGGCACGCGCTCGACAACACTCCGACCGCCATCCCGACCACATCGAAATCCCTCTATTATACCGGCAACCGCACTCGTATTGGGGACTAATTTTAGAACTTCCCGAGCTCGTGATCTACTCCCATGATGATGATACGCAGTGATACGCACGGCAAGACAAGAAAAAACGATAACGACGCATATTTTGCATGGCCACGGATTGTTTTGCGTGTGAATGGAAATAAAGTTGCGCGGCGTAAAATCATGTTGAGTTTGCGCTCGGAATCTTTTAAACAAATAGTTTTATTTCGGCGCAACATCTTTGTATACATGAAAACTATTTACGTTCGCTTATAAATAGAAAAATACGCTGGTGGGGTTTAATTCCACGCGCTAATTAGCAGTTGGATATTTTTCATGAGAAATAAACAGTCAAGGTTTCAGAGAATCTCAAGACTTAAATTGCTACACACTGTCTGAATAAACAAACTTTATGTTTTGAAAATAAGTGGGAAAAAGCATTTTATTTCGATTTAAAAAATTCTAGAGTTATTTAGGGTGCTTAACTGCCCTTAGAACGCAAGAGATTGTTTATTATTAACAGTGGCGTAGCTGGGCGGCGGCAATATTCACTATGCGGGCATCACAACTGTGCACGTCGACTTTCACTCGCAGGAGTATTAAATTTTAGTTTAAAAGAGGCCAGCGGTAAAAGTGACTCGTATTCAAGGCACCGTACGAGGCTAGCGGTAGATGTGACTTGCATTCAAAGCACCGTACGAGGCTAGCGGTAGAAGTGACTCGTGTTCAGGGCACCGTACGCAGATGATTAACCACGCTAACCTTAAGAAACGTAATTTTTTAAACAATTTTCTATCTTGTGGTAACAAATCCGCCCCGACTATCGCCCGCGTTTTTGTCAATACCATGAATCTAAGATAGCGACTAACCATTAAACCTTTACCTTAGCTTTCACCTTGCCTGCATGTAATAATAAAACATCAAAAATAGGCATTTTTATTAATTTGCAAGCCTCCAACACATTTTCAACGCCTGGTTCCTGCAATTCCCGTCGGACCAATCTTATTCTTGTACTGGTTCCTCAAAATGATTTTCAACCAGCCACATCGTGGTACAGCACAAGCGGCGGCGGTGCAGAACATGACGTGAAGAGAAATGTTCTGATAATAGGCGAAGCACCGCACGCATGGCCCAAAATCAACGCAATTCTTCATATGCGCAAATAAGACTCGCATGGCCTTGCAGCCTCCCTTCAGGCACACTTCCGAGGCGCAGCCGACGGCGTGATTAATCAAAGCCAGATATTTGGTGTGCTGTTGCAACACCATTGCCGCTTTACCCGGGCTGAAGAAGTCCGCCTCCTCAGCGGCACAAGACCTGCACGTTTGATAGAATCCGCGGGTCACTTGGACCTTCGAGCATCTTGTACAGCGACGACGGGTTGGTTTGTAAGGGTTCTCGTCCTCGAGAGTGGCGGATGGTTTCGGATTCAACTTTTCCATTTTGAAGTTGATGATTGAGCTTGCTGCGTGAATCAAACTGTGTGTGGGACGGTGTGATGCTCGATGTGAAATGATATTGGTTTTTTCGATAACAGGCGATATTCATTTCATGGCTAACGATATAAACGATATAATATTGTTTTTGATTTGTGTATTTTTATGTTTGTAACTATGTGCCGTAAAAATAAAAACAAAACAGACATTGTTCTAGAATATTGAATTCAGCAAAGAATATTTAAAAATGACTCTGTTTCAATTTCAATTGATAACAGGATAAAGGCCACTATTTCTCTCTCAAAATTGTGAAGACAGCATATAAATGCATTTAACGAATTACGAAATATTCTGTTTTTGGAAATTCTCAAAACAATTTAAGTTTAGAAGCGTTTCTAAGAATCTGTAAGGTGTTTAATTGGTTGAGGTCCTATGCACGCACGAGGCTAACCCATTTATAATAAAATTTTGTAAAATAACATGACAATAGAGCCCTTTTTGCAATAAAATATTGACAACAACATAAAACTGCTTTCTTTCAATCACAATCAAGCGTTTTAGTATTATCAACCTACTTTGTTACAAGAAAATATAAACATAAATAAATGAAACACAAAGTTTTCTTGTCGTCGATAGTTTTGCAATTTTATAACGATAGCCATGAAATAACAATCGACTTGTCGATTATCATCAAATAAACAATATCGACCTTTCCACACACAGTTTAATTCACGCGGAAAAAAAACGGATTTACGAATTTCTAACCTATCATATTAGGATAAGTTTGCAATTGGATAAAGTAGTTTGTTTTGATGTTTTATTATCAAATGCATTAAGGGGGCGGTTGCAGGCGTTTGGCACATGCTTTAGAGTGACTGATGATGTCTTATCAAACAATTTAATATTTAATATATCAAGATAAAAAAAAAACTTTTAAATCTACTCACTATTTGAATTTGTGATCTTTCCTGCTCCATTTTGACATCGAGTTCTCTGCCGGACACTAAATTTAAATCTGATAGAAAGAATGTCGATCTTTCTATATGTTTGCAAAATAGAATGATTTACCGAATTTGAATATAATGAATTTGTTGCTATTTGTTTAAACGCAGACACGTTAGAATCGCAGTTGACTACCACCAAAATAGGCAACTACATATACTCTTTTTAATTCAGTCAGTGTCGCCAATCAGTTAGTGACTTTTAACCATACTAATTTGTTTTCAGAGTGTTTTTCGACTTTGTTTATAGATTATTCACTTTTATTGTTAAAATATATTTAAACTATCTCTACAAGTAGTAAACTTATGAGCATTAGTAGAGGGCAGCACGTTGCAGAGCACCAACACAATGGAACAAGTCCCAGTCAATCAGATGTTTCCTCTCCATACCAGTCTTAGATGCACAAGTCTGCCTTCCTTTCAAGCAAAAACAGAAATTCCCACAAAAGACGCGCTCGCGCCTTTAGCGAAGGTAAATAATCTCCTTGTAATCTTATAAATTCTGTTCATTCCCATCCACTAATCACACAACACTATGGCTGATGATTTACAAAACTACAAGCTCCAACTGCAACAAGTCGAAGCGGCACTGTTAACCGACCCAGAGAATAAAGAACTGCAGAAGCTGAAGATCGATTTGGAGGAGGTGATCGACTTGACACTCGACCTCAAGAGCAAAGCCGAAGAGGCCGCCAATCAGCCCGAGTATCGCGAGGTGCCCATCAGCAATCCAACTGAAGAAGATGAAATCACCAAGTCACTGCTTGCCGTGGAGGAGTTTGTCTCAAAAACGAAAAAGCGTAAATTGTGGCGGGTTGGTGATATCTGTATGGCGAAATGGAGCGACAATAATCAATACTATGCAGCAAACATTGACTCAATCAACCCTGATGGCCAGGTGAATGTCACATTCGAGGCATATCAGAACCGAGGAGTGACAACATTAGCAGAACTGAAAGAGTTCACAGGCGAAAAGCGCCAGCTCACGGAGGCCGAGAAACTGAAGCGCGCCAAACAGAACAACAAGGAAGTGCTAAAGAAGAAAAAAATAAAAAAGCAGCAACGATTTAAGGAGCTGGAAGAGGAGCGCGAGGCGGAAAAGAACAAATGGTTGGCATTCAATAATAAAGCTGTCAAGGCGAAGAAGACCGGCCTGAACAGCAAGAGTATATTTGCGTCACCAGAGTCCGTCAACGGGCGTGTTGGGATTGGCACGTGCGGGATCAGCGGGAAGCCGATGACGGAGTTCTCCGGCGCGGAGAAACACAAACGCGGCCAGTAGAAAAGTAGAATCGATGTAAATCTGTTTGAAGTGAATTTAAATGACGCAATTGGGACACTGAATGATCTGTTTCAATGCAGGTTGCGACCTATCTTATTAATTATGTCGCATTCGGCCGACATTCAGCCAAGGTTTGATTTTGTGTACAATTGTTGGATGTATTTCAACGCGAAAATATACAAATAAATCATTACAATACAAACTTGCTTTCAATGGACATGAAACAATTTCTAATGCATGATTTTATAAATTTGATAATGCATGATTATTGCGCGTGTGATACAGTTTTAAAGTAATTGAGTGTTAAAATTGTGAAACAAATGTAATTGTGAAAAACAATTTTATGGTGGAATAAGAATTGGTGTATATTTGGTTGCCTAACAGTGATTGTGACAAAGCAAACGGTTGCAGGAATCAGTTCCCCTTTCTGCCGCGTGGTGGCAAATATGGCAGGATCCTGAAACACGCCGTAGCCGCCACAGTCGCCGCCGTCATTCCGCACGCGAAATTTGCAACAAGCAAGAGGCAGTCCCGAAGCAAATCCACGCACCCGGCCGCCGTGGCCGAAACTCACGCCTCGCTCCGTCCTCTCACAACGTGGTTTCCGCCGACAGCACGGTGGTCGCACACACACCGCGCAACAATCAGCCACCACCGCCGCCGCAGTTGCCGCCGTCCGGAACCGCGGGATGCACATCGCACGTTTGCACCCCGCGCTTGGGTAAACGCATGGTCCGCCGTACCAGCAGGAGCAGGTCGACGATCGAGTAAGTGCCCTCCCTCCCGCGTGCCGGCAAACGCCGCTGCCGCCGCCGCCCCCGCCATCGTGCGGACATGCTGTGGTAAGACGCGGCCGTCCGCACACCTGGACCGCGGAGCGAGGCCCCCCGCGAACATGTGCGCTCGCCTGCGGGCACCGACCACCGCAACCAGTATCCACGAGAAACGCGACCTCGCCAGCCAGTGAGGGCCGCGTTCGAGGGGTGCCCCTCACGCTACGCCGACGACACGGTACGTTTCAATCCCTATCTGCGCAATTTCTTTGTCATGCTTTCAACCGCAAATCGTTTTTTTTTGCGAGGGTGCCGATCATTTTTTTACTCGTTTGTTGTAACAATTGCGCCGGAACTCGAAATCTTATAGGAAACTGTTTCGCGGCACGATACAATTGTTTCGTTTTTTGTGGTTATGTACGAGTTAGCTTGTTTGATTCCGGCAGGCAGATCACACAGTAATGCGAATGCCATCGCACGAGGCGGCGAGTTGATAATGGCGCACTCACGCAGCAACCTTAATCTTACCAACCCCATCAAAGAGTTGGTCAGCAAGCGGCGGAATCGCTACCGCCAAGATGGATTCAACCTGGATCTGACATGTATCCTTTTTTTTTGAATTTAACTCCACCTTTTTTCTACTATTGCGTTGACTTTTTTTTTTCTTAATGCGTGTTTCTGTAGATATAACAACAAAGATAATAGCAATGGGTTTTCCCGCATCGAACATTGAAGGAGTTTATAGGAATCACATTGATGATGTGGTGAATATGCTGGAGAAGAACCACTTGGACCGCTACTTCATTTACAACCTGTGCTCGGAACGCTCATACCATCCGCAGAAGTTCCACAACCGCGTTAAGAAATACCCATTCGATGATCACAACCCGCCGAGGTTGGATCTCATCCGGCCGTTCTGCGAGGACGTGCAGGGATGGCTGGACAAACACGAGGAAAACGTTGCGGTGGTGCATTGCAAGGCAGGCAAGGGCCGCACCGGCACAATGATCTGTTGCTACCTGCTTCATTCAGGCGGCATGAAAAACGCCGACGATGCGCTTAGGCTTTACGGGGAAACACGCACACAAGATCAGAAAGGCGTCACCATTCCCAGCCAGGTACGATATGTCCGTTATTACGGACGAATTGTACGTGACGGACTTGTCTACCGCCCCGCTGCGCTCTACCTCACCGAAATCCGACTTGAACCGCCACCCACCTTCGGTAATCGACAGGTGGAACTACATTTCTCCGTGTATAATACCCGCGAGGGTGGTGAAAGCGGTGAGCCGGCGCCGGCACCCATGAAAGTTTACAAGTCGACGGCTGTGGAGCTAACGCGCACCGAGCAAAACTACACCGTGCGCTTCCGCACCAACATCGCACTGCGCGGCGACGTCAAGATCGAGCTGCACAGTAAGAGTATGATCTCAAAGAAGTCGAAGCTGTTTCAATTCTGGTTCAATACGTTTTTCGTGGACGAGGAGGTGCCATCAGGAGGCGCCGGACCATCACAGCCGCCGCCACAGGACGCCAACGGCTATCTTAACAACAGCGCGTCGAACAACCAACCGCAGCCAACGGCGGCTGTGACGGGCGGCAATCGTCCGCTGACGATGTGTCTCCGCAAAGGTGAACTCGACATTGTCAGCAAGAAGGACAAACAGAACAAGATGTTCTCTGCTGATTTCAAGGTTTGTAGCTCCAAATTTCATGTCTGTTTGATTAAATATTTGATAATGTTTGGCACAACAGAGTACGCTTGTATATTCGTCATCAACCGATTGTGATGACGTTATCCACGCGGGGATATCTAACAATTGATTACCGGTTATCATCTGGATTATTGCACCGCGGTTTACGCAATTCGACAAATAATTGTCAAGCGCTGATAAGATACCTTCACAGGATTTTATCATTATCCCGCGTGTTTATGCATTTTTCCTATCGTTTTCAATTGCTTTCTGCGAATTTATTTGTTTGATCAGCGCGATGAAAAACCAAACAAATCACATTACTAGTAAATGTTAAATAGAAGCAAATACTACGAATTAGTCATAACACAATTTTACTCCTGTGTTATGATATAATCTGAAACGCTTCACACTCACGTGTAAATTGCAATTGTTTTCTCTGAATCATTGTCACCGTAACTTACATAATTTCAATATGCTTTATATCGTAATAGAGGAAATTAACTGTGGTGTTTTGCAGATAACGCTGTTTTTTCTTAAAAAATCCTCGAACGAAGGAACGGATTGGATGCTGACGCCTAATCTGCAGCAAGCACAGGAGCGGTCGAGCGGCAGCTCCGAGGACTCCGACACCGACTCGTCCGAGTGGGATAGCGGTGAGTTGAACATTTTGTTTAATCAGGCTGAGGAGGATGAGGACGCCGCGTCGAACAACTGCGACAAATCGAACGCAGCACCGGAATGAATCCGGCCGGACAGAGTCTCGATGAACATAAAACAAACAAAAATACGCATGCACTGTTTGATCAGAGTCGATATTTGGATCCGCGCGATTCGATTTCCAAACGCCGACGCTCATTACTCATAATTCATTTCTCACCATATTCGTCATGCCCCAAATATCATTACCTGTTTGTTATCTGTTATTGTTTGTCACTTGCTGTCCCATCCTGGCTTTCTTGCTGTGCGTGTGTTTTTTTTTTTTTTTTTTTCTGTGTGCGTGTGTTGGATGCAGGCGAGTGCGTGGGCGAATCGCGTGTATTTACAAAACTAGCGATGTGTTTCTGTTCATTTTACATGCAGCCGTGGAGTGTCAGGTGAACATGGACCCGAAGGGCGTCGGATACACGCGGCTGTTATCCGACTGCGATCTCTCGACGAAACTGAACGACCTGCAGGCCGAGTTGTATGCCGTTTGAAGGCGCGCGTACTCACATCCGAACGTTTTTAGCCAGCTGTGCTTTTTTTGTGATATCGCACCGTGTGTTGCATTCGTTCAGCCAGGATGTTGTGCACGGGACGGTTACAGGGCCCAATTTAAATATCTCCACACACTCTCTCTCGACTCCAAAACGCCGCAAATCGTGTTTTAACTCATTAGTCATATCCATTCGCAACACGTGAAAAAGTCAATAATTTACTGGCAGGGGCATTGTGGTATCAGTTTTTTGAGTTTGTTACATGTTAAACACGTCTTCTTCTATAAGAAAATCAATTCGATGCCCCAGCTTGTAGCCTTCGATGAATCGAGATTCTAAAATAATAATAAAGTAATAAGTTGCACGCGGATTTTGAACAATTTGCACATTTCCATGATTGTTTCGTCAAGAAGTTGCTTGAGATGCGTGCCGGGGGCAATTCAACACGGTGCAGGTGAATGTATGAACGCTTTAAATGAAAAAAAGAAACTGAAATCATTCTACACATATGATTAACAAGAACAAATTTTGTATAATATGTATTTTTGAGATTTTTATAATATACATAACTCCACATTTCGATAAGCAACTCGCCGAGAACCACCACCTTCGAATCACCCGCATTTTGGATTAACAACGTCGAACTTTTCGTTGGTTTTTTTTTATATAATTTGTTTGATTCTGTTTAAGTGTTTTGATTTGATTTTTTATGATTTCTGATGAATTTATATTTGGCTTTTACAGGCGAATCGACGGTCTTATGAGTGTTAAACCTAATGGAACAGAATAGCAAATTAATACACACACACACACACTCGAACACACAACGCACATTCGAAGCGCGCACAATTGTTATCGGTTGTCGCGTCATGTGATACTTTTCAAAATCAGCGTGGAGCGTGCTTGTGTCCCTGTCTTGAATGTTCATCATCATCATCAGCATCGCATGCATCATCATGATCACCACCATCAGGACGATATCGTGCTCCCCATTGCTGCGGTAGTTGTGTGTATGTATATTCGTATTTTCTTTTGTCTCGCTGCATTTTCATATTCGATCGCACCACTCGTCGGCCTTGGGTAGCGATTTGTGCCATTTCACACCACTCTCTCACAACTCGAACGAGAAGAGCGAAATTTGTGGACCAAACACACACACATGCATCTGAATTCGGAATAATACCGGCGCATTTCGAACGATTTACTACTTGAATCTCGCATCGCCGCATTATTGTATATATATTGTAAATAGAAATGCGAGATGAGTCGCCGCTAACAATGGTTGCACAAAGTACATTTAAACATTTTCTAATTACATTAAACAAACACAACAAAAAAAAGATAAAAACAACAACCACCACGGACCATTGGCCGCATGCGTACATGCTGTGTATTTTTTCATTGTAAATAAATTCTAAAACAACGTTGAATTAGTGGCGGAATATCGATGTATCGATGGTTAATTTGTTAAACGGCAGGCATTTACTTGTTGTACTTTATGTTGATGTTAATAACGTTGGTGTTGTGTGCTGTCGAAGATTGTAAACACGAACATCACGGCGCTTGTTGTCATCAACACACACACACACGCACACAAAACAAAGAGAATCATTTGATTTGCAAATCTGAGGAAGGCACAAATGGACTGATAACGAATTTCATAGCTGTATTAGAAGAGATCCGAAATCAAAGCAAAAGCAAAAAACGCAGAAAGGCACGACATGATTCGTTCGCTCAGTGAGATTAATTGATACGCGTCAGGCCGGTTGTAGCTAATTTTTAATACCTAATAATTTAATTTTCATGTGCATATAATACGGATAGAGAGCGCCGCAGAGTAGTGTACTATTTTTCTATGTATATGTTAGTTAGTTTACTTCTACTAAGTGACGATCAGGCACGGAGATTACTGTGAAATTTGTATGTACCTATGTATTGTAAGTTTTTTAGAATGTGCAAACGGCGCCGAAGTTTTGTTTGCATTTACGCATGGAATGTGATGAAAGAACAACTTAAGTTTTTCCCGATTTTCTTTTGCAAATAATAACCAGAGAGATACCAACGAGATGCGAAAGAAGAAGCGAATTGTTAGTACAAATTTACTTTTTTTGTTTAATTAAACTAGTTTTGATCTCAATTGAGTAGTGTGCTCGTGCGGATTATATTTTTAATAGACGGGACACGATGTTTACCACACAAACAAAAAGAAGAAAGAACGAGTGTTGATTTTAATTGCGTTGAAATTGCAAAAAGGAACGCCCAGTATTGATTGCACATTCTGTGTGCGTGAGAGGAGGTTTATTTCTTTCTTTTTAATTGTTACTCATGTTTTGTGTTACTTGTTGTGTATTAATAGTCAGCTTTGGGTTGAAATTTTCATTCGGTTTCAAAAATGACGCGCGCATGATGTGTGCACGCGCAGAGAATGCTTGCCCCATGTTTTTATTTTATTTGGTATTCTATAATAAGCAAAGCAAACGAAATTCGTCGCTGGCACAACACAATATGCACAGAAGAAGATTGTCACGACCGAAGGACATCGTTGAACATGTTTGCGCGGTGATTTCAAACGTTAAATTATTTAAGTTTTAAGGCAAACGAAACCGATTAATCGTACTCTCTAATTGAAAGGCTGTTTATTACAAATTAATATAGATATAATTATAAGTGATATTATAATTATATACTTATATTATTCTAAATAGTAATATAGTGTTTATTCAATTGTAATAAATATGAATTATTGATGGTAGTTCGAAATTTGCTAACAAATTTTGCACGCATTCGAATAGAGACACGGTACATGCAAATATACAAATATTTTTATACAGAATAATTAGAGATTTACGAGAATGAGTGGGCGACGCGAAGGCACACACACACACACACACACATCCTGCACACGATTGAACCAAAACACTTATCAAACAAACAAACAAAGACGATTGTGAGTACTGCTTTGGCAGGTGTGGATCAGCTTTAAATGTCGGATGGTTTATCGTTTTTTTTTTATATAAGTTTCTTCGCGCGCGCGGTGATTTCATTTGAGAGAAAAAAGAAATAGAGAACTATTTATAAATTGTACGGATTTGTGGAATTAAACACTATGTAGTTAATTAATATTGAATGTCATTATTATGTACATTTAATGTATCTGTACTTAATTACTTGTATTGTTACAATGATATTGATTTAAGTTATTAAGTGCCAAGTCGACGCGGCTCCCCGGAGCGCGCGATTGTTATTACTAAATGTTATAAAAAAAATGTGATTGAAATAATTGATGATCTAAATTTGCGCAAATATTGGTTAGTAGTGGCGTGCGTTGCAATACGGTCGGACAAGCAAGCTGGTTGGTGGTTACAGAGCGAACGCTTGAAAGTATACGATTCAAGAATACTCCCAATTTATTTAATTATTTTTAATAAACTTAGTGACGGACGCAAAACCTGTCGAACTGTGTATTCGAACGAATTCTATGATTATTTCCATACGTCTGTGTAGATCAAACCCGCAACGTGTCTGAATAAGTGTTGAACATTGTATTTATTTGATTTCGATACCATTTCCATATCATTTTTTTATAATTCGCCATTATACTTTCTATCAATAGTTTTGTGAATTAACTGTACATGTAAAGAATATTAGATCCCCTTTTATTTAATATAATATAACAAAAAAGCATTTAAATTGTCATTTAAATGTCTCCAATTGCGGCGTTTTTTACCGCTCTGCGATTAGTTTTGTGAACGCGCTTGAAAGTGGCACGAATGATATCGGAATATTGTTTAACTTTCGCGGCGTCAAGACGCGCTGCCTTGTAAAGTAAATTAATGATATCTCTGAGATGTTTCCTCTGTGTTATGTTAGAGTGATCCAACGCAGCGAGGATCAATGCCACCGGCACGAAGAAGCGGCTCTGCATCGTCGTTTTAAAGTTGATCCACCAGGCATGACGTTTGGATTCCATTCTGACCACTTGGTCATAGATTTCTTTCTGGTGGATCAAGTAGAATTTCATCAAAGAGTCAGCGGATCTTTTTAAGCGATGGTATCGCAACGCCAACGGACGGATGAGCATGTGCATCACTGTTTGCAGGTCTTCAACTACGTTGATCCCAGGCAGTGAGAGTTTCAGCATTTTGAGTACATGGATCTCCATCTTGCGAATTCGCAAACAGTCGTCGGGTTTCGATGGTTTCGCTCGTAATATGCGATAGATGGCTGCGACTCTTCTGACATCATATGTCGGCTGTATGCCGTTGAGCTTGTCCGCCATGTAGACAGACGTGAGGAGTGTGAGAGCAGGGTGTTTGATTTTAAACCCGGATTTTTTTGCCTTGTAGATGTAGCGTTCGAGGATGTTAATTGCGGTGGCGAAGACGAACAAATCGCTACGCATATACTCGCAGAGAAAGAAGATGGTACTGGCACTGGTGGAAGTCAGTGTGGGTTGAATGAATCTGTTTGGGTTTTTTTCCATGTTTCTAAGCCAGTGGAAACCGAGATACTGATTGAAGCCGGAATCGTTTAGTCTTTCCCTTTCTTCTTCTATTTCGCTGTTGTTCTCCTCGCTATCACTACCTGATGATGAGCTTGAGCTGGAACTAGCAGTATCAGACATTAATATTCTTTTTCTTTGCGAATTCATTGTTAAAACTTTTGGTAAAGTTAACCGTGACTATACGATAAAAAATGGCAGCAATTCGAATATTTTGAGGTTAAGTGTTTTGTGCGTAGCTAGGCAACCCGTCGTAAAGCACAAAACGACTAGAACTTTCTTTAACTATCTTTACAGTAACGTTGCCAGGAGCCGTGTTTGATGTTGCCACGCAACAAAATAAACACGATTCGCCGAGAATCTTGCACGTGAATTCATTTTACTGATTTTTTATCGTATTGCTCAGTTTTGCACAGATTATTATAATATTAAAACCTAACATTATACAAACATGGAGGATACGAGCGACTCGGAGAAGATGGAAGCAGAGGAAACACCAAAACGGAGGGTTTCGGTGAATTCAAAGCAGGTAGCCTTCATAACGCCTATAACGTCATCAATCACCCAAAACGACACAATTGCGGGGCCCTCACCAAGTAGCAGGTCTTCGTCGCCGACTCCACCAGCACCTGAACCTTCTCCTCAATCGGAAGTCGTCTCTGAACAGCCAGTTGTAGAATTATTCAAAGCGCCGCCTAAACCGGAAAAACCTAAGCCAGTGAAACCCCCCGTGAAAATGGATCCTCCGCCCGAACCAGCTCCATCGGTTTCTGAAGAACTACCTGTACTTCAGCAGGTTGGGTCCGACTTCTTCAATGATTTTCAATTGAAGCCACTGCCTGAGAAACATTTTAATTTAACGCCTGATTTAGAGCATCCCGTGGCTGGATATCAGCCGTAAGTGAATCAATTCTATAATCAATGATTCAACATTCTTATATCTTATTTATTATTATCTAGCAATGAATTGGGCTATAATCTCAAGCCTAGTGATGTAGACCTGAGTCAACTGCTAGCCGCCGACCATCCACTGCTGGACCGCTTCCAGAAATCATTGAAAGAGCAACTTATGAAGAAAATTTACTCTATGCAAGAAGAAGTCGCTGATTTAATCGAAGGTTGTAAGACTAAGCGTGTCGAAAAGGAAACGTTGGGCACCGAAGCGTTCGAAACGCAGAAAACAGCAACGAAACTCGGACACAACATACGTGTCACCCTGAAGGATCTTGAAACTGTAACGGCTGCGCGTGAAGAACTTGACATGGTATATGCAAAGACACTCGAAGACTTCGATTTTGAGAAGACTGACAATATGGCAGCGGAACACGATGAAATTAATTTGCGCGTTGAGTTGGAAGCGGTGGATATGCTCCTGAAGCAAATGCGTGACTGGGAGGCGGAATTGGAGAATGAATTGATGATAAACCAACGAGTGATGGATTTCACCACGAAGACAAAATCGGAATTGTATAAGGAACAGAAACAACTGGTAAATATATTATATTATTTCGAAATAATCCATATTAATATTAATATTAATATTATTATAGGATGTGCTTGTGTATAATCTCATGAAAGATGTTTGGAGACTTGAAACTGAGGTGGAAAAGGTCCAAATGCAAATCAGGGTGAAAGAGGAAGACCGGGAGCGACTAGCTGAAGCGGTTGCCTTGTCTAATATTGATATTGAGTCCAACCAAACAGAGTACCGTTGCCTTGTGCATGGTTGGCAGTCTGTGCTTCTAACAATTAGTCAAAGAGATAAATATTATAACGGTCTACAAGCAGAACATACGTAAGTATAGTAAAAAATATCGAAGAATTTATTCTTATATATTTTTCTCTGTTTAGGAAACTAAATGATGCTCTATCTGGAGTAAACTGTGAATTGATCCACATCAGGAAGGAAATTCAACGAGAGCACATCGAAAACGAGCGCTTGACTCTAATCAAAGACCGCCTAGATTATGAGATGAAAAACATCACGAAGTCTTTACTCATCGAGACAGACAAACGTGACGAATACCTTCGAATCGTCGCTCAGTATGATAAATACATAGAAGAAAACAAGAAACAACAGGAGATACTAAAAGCAGAAATTGAACAGATTAAGGAAGAGGAGACTGGCCTAGCGCGCGAGTTAGAAGCTCTCAACCAGACGAAATATCAAATGGAACAAGATATAATTATTCATTTACAAAGCAATGCTTTCAATAGTGATGCATGCAGGCAAATGGCGAACGTCCTGAAGGATTTCAAAGAAGAAAATCGACACATGCGGATCAATATCGCCCGAGTTGAAGGACAAATTAGTAACACACACGCGGAATATCAATATTTACGAATGGAGAATGACGAAGTAAGTGAACAACTGCGAGATCTCAAGATGACAATGGCCGCGGAAGACAAGGAGCTGTTAAATATAAATAGAGATTTCGAAAAAAGCGAGAAGCTATTAGTGAAGAATATTCTGTTATACGAGCAGTTGAAACTGAAAGCATCCGGAGATGCTGCGCAAAAGATTGAACTCTGGCCCGAAGAGGTGCGTATTCGCCAATTGGAGGCTTCCAACGCTGAGCTGATGGAAAAGAATAAAGCGTCGCAGAGTTTCTGGTTGAGAGAGCAAGCAATTGTTGTGGAATTATCGGAGAAACGCCATGCGCAGATGAAAGAAATGGATTTGTTAAAGAAGCAGATATGTGTAATGGATCAAAAGAATCTGCACATTAACGACACGCTCGAAAACCTGCGTACTCTCGAACAGACGCTGCGGAGAAACATTAACGGCTACGAGAATAGACTGAATGCTCACACGAGTGGTCTGCATAAGAAGCGCAATGATAAAACAGCGCTGAATGCTGCCAATCAAAAAATTCAGGGTGAGTTGCAAATGAAACTGGAGGACAGCGAATTTGAGGCTTTGCGCATGAAAGCGGAGATTATAGAGATCGAGGAAGAGAAATACTCGCTGAGTCGGGAGTTGATTGACAAGAATCGTGAGGTTTTGTGCTGGGAGAAAAAGGTGTTGATGGTTTTAGACACACGCAAGCAAATGCACGAGAGTCATGGCGAAAGCGGTGAACTCGCACAAATGAGAACAGAGATTCACCGTATGCATGTAAGTCTGAAGAATTAAAATTGCCGTTTATGAATATTTATCATGTTTTAGGTAAGGTACTCACAACTGAAGAAAGCGCAAGATAAATTAATCCACGATTTGGATAATTGCATCTTCCGTCGTGATTCTATTGTTACCTTAGCCGAAGCGAGAACTCGGGGTCACAAAGGTGGTTCGCAACAGTGGCGGGTTAATTTTAACAAGAGGCGCGACGATCTCAAGAATAAATTTACACAATTGGAACAAGTAAAAAAGTAAAATTTACTGCGTAAAACAATTTTAACATATTCTCCATAGGAATTTAATGTCATTCAAGATAAAACTGATATGAAATCGAGGGAACTCCAAAAGATGCGTGATATATTAAAAGCAGAGAGAGCTAAAGTGGCTGAACTCAAGAAATTTAGAGACGAGGCTTGGGAGCACGTAGAACAAGCGAAAATCAAGCGACAAATGGTGAGTTCTAACAAGTATCGCTTAAATATTAATTATTTGTGTAAATACGTTTTTCTCTCAACAATATTATAGAATCTGGACGTCTTGATGTACAAACAACGAAAACTGAAAACCTACATTGAATTATCACGTGGGAGAGCGCCATTTATGTATTTCAGAACTCAAATGGCAGCTCACAACGCATACGTTCGAGAACGCTCGCTCAATACGAAGATGCGACAGCTCGTTGAAGAACTGCAAACCGATCTTCCGAAACATATCAATTTCCTGACGAAATGCCATAATTCGCTGGTCCTACCAGCAGTAAAACTGTAATTTTTTCTAGGAAACTCCAAATATTCGTTTATTTTTACACGAAATCATTAGTGTAACACCGGAGGAATCATTAATCACGTTTTTGCGCATCAAAATTATTCGAAAAAGGTAAAATGGAAGACGTCATAATATTAAAGTCAGTAATTACGTTCTAGAGAAACAAAATACAGTCTCAAATCAAGCGCTCAATATGCGTGTTTGCTTCACTTCTTGTCATCATCTCTAAATGTTAATGTAAATAAGGCGCATTCTATCACAGAAACGTTAGTTCGCAATCTCAATGATCCTAAAAATTTGGTTTCGAGCAACGTGAGATCCATCGAAGTGCTCGGCAAACACCGGCGGCTAACTTGGACTGCGCCTTCAATTATTGCAACAATTCCATTTACACAGCAATCATTCAAGTGACGATTATGATAACGCTAACTTTACGGTCGAGATCAAGTTCAATTCCGATACATGATTGTCTTATAACTAGGCGAGCCTATCACTAAATGGCAGTGTATTAAGCTATTATCCGGCAACAGCAGCATTTAAAGCAGAGTGACGTGTCCTAGATTATCAGACACGACCATCTCCATCACCGACTGGAAGACGACCTGTACGTTGGCAGTGTCCGTGGCGGTGGTGAAGTGCGGGTAGAGCACTTTTCGTGAGTCCGTGTTTTGCAATGTGAACCTGTGCTGAATGAATAACGCACTTCGATCTACATCGCGGTCCGGACCTGAAACGAGCGAAAAAAAGAAATTGGTAATCAAATGCTGCTTAACGACGCCATTTCATTACCTTTAAAATCGGGGAAATACATTCGTAAATGGCGATTGGAATGTAAAATCTTGTCACGAAACAAGTCATACTTATTCATGAACAGTACAAAGGAGGCGTCTCTAAAAAACGGATTGTTTATTATCTGTCCGAAGAGATTCAGGCTTTCCACCAGCCTGTTAACATTTGCATCTTCCTAGAAAACCACAACAAACATACAAAATTAAATCATCCATAGATAAAGATAAGTTTCAAGATCATGCATAGTATTGTGCAATCAATTGACAGTGCACTTTTATTGATTTAACAGCAAAGGTGAATACTGTCAAAATCCGGGAAGAAAACATCTGTAATTTGACCAATGATAAGAAAATGTGCTTGAAGAACATTGCAGTTTCATAATATTGTCATGCATTACTGTGAATGTTATAACCTAATCAATTTTCATGCATGAAGAAACTTTTCAAACAAATATTCAAGATATTTACCAATAGAGTCATATCATAACCACTTAAGGAAACAACAAACAAGACAGCTTTCACATCATCAAAGCAGTAGATCCATTTCCTTCGCTGTGATCGCTGGCCGCCAACATCGTACATACTGACGATCATTTCATTGATGCGAAATTGGGTTTCGATGATGCCTTGAGTCCGCACACGGGCTCTCAGGACATCCGTGGGGGTAGGTACATATTTGGGATCACAGATTCTCTCCATATTCTCAAACAGACTATAGGAAGCAATTGAATTAGGTATAAGTTTAGGTAAAAATCGATTTTTTCACTTACTATAATGCTGAATCATTTAATTCATATTCATATCCTTTAGCAACAGCCAATCTAACACCTCTGTCTGACCACAATGCTTGCAAGGAAGCAGCAACATTTGGCAGAACAGAGAAACTCATATCAAAGCAGCTTCTGCTTTGCAAAATAACCTGAGCATGCCTTTTATTCCTGGCAAGCTCGAGATTTATACGAAGAATGCCCATGCCTGCCAGCACATACTTCATAGATGCTAGTAAATTGTCCAAAACAGTAGGTCTGAAGCTACTGAGTTCAGCATGTGTGAAGCCATCAGCATGGATGATCTTCATTTGTTTGACCAGCGTGCTTTTGCCACTCTCCCCAGCACCTAAATCAACAGCATAAGTACCACTAACCAAGATTAGAAGTGTAAGTTAACTCACCCAGGAGTAGTATCTTGATGACATTGTTCTGCTCTTTGGCGTGCTCCTCCAGCTGCTTGTCGATCTCCTCGCTCCTTCGACGAGCGTTAATCTCATCCCGTTCCAAAGTCAGGCATGCACCCATTTCCACAACATAACTATCGCGATCACTGGCTCCAAATTCAAAGAAACAACACCGACTGACGGCGAGTTGGCTGCGAGTACACTAGGTACGGTCGCAGGAATTAATCGCGCGCGTGTGAAACACTTTTGTTTTCCTGCGATTTGCATCGATTGTGCGTTGTTGCGAGCGTGCGAACCCGCGTGCGATGCATGTCTGCTGAGGGGTCTTCTGAGAAGACGCTAACCAACAATAAATGGAGCACTTTCTCAACTTCCCATGCGCCCGCTAATCGTTGAATCTTCGAGCACTCGCCCGAACAATGGAAGCATCGAGAACGGTACGTACGAGCACAAGAAGTCGTGAGTTGCGACTGCTTTTATTGCACCAGAATGCTATTTGCCTTCTGCAGTTACCTGCAGCGTCATTGTGTGCGAAGAGTTCGTTGCGAGAGAGGTGGACGCGAAAGGAGGATGAAAAATGCTCGAGTGTAAAAGCAGCAAGCAACAAGTCCCAGAGAGACTTTTAAACCGCTTTTAGCCATTCAAAACGCTTTTACCTCGCTATTTAACAATGACGTTATTGTAAAAATACGTCAAGAAAACGGCTAGCAATGAAACAAAAACGTTGACGGCATAAAATATTTTCATATCTTAACATTGCATAATAAGAAATTCTGCTTAAATGAAATTAACAGGTAATATTACAGTTTTGGTCGCTTTGGATCTGCATTTATCTTACATTAATTCAACTTTGGCGCGTATGATAAGTAAATGAAATATGACAGCAGACAACTTAACTCAACGCTCTTTGAACTTCATATCGTGCAAGCGCGCATAAAAACAATTTTTGTTTGTGCGGTGTTTACTTAGTTATCATTCAACTCCGCGTTTGTGGTTCGTGCTCGGTAGATGTTGCGCCAAGTTGACTTGATTAGTGAATAACAAATGCTAACGCTGTGTGCGCTGAACTCTAACCTAGTGCTGCTTGAATTCAATTAAAGTTCGTTGCCAGGGTCGCAGGGTCGTCACTGGCGCCAGTTGAGGTACAGCAGGAACACGGCGAGTAAGTGTGTATTGTTTCCAACCGATTTCCAATTTGCGTGATTTTGCACGGCGTCGGCCAGGTGCGCGTACGGGCCGATTTGCGCCGCATACGCGATCACGTACGCGACATAAGTCTGCTCGTGAACGGTGTGGAAGAGGTGCGCCATTGGTCCTGTAAAGTAAACACGCAGCACGTAAGCTACTAATCGGCACAATTATCTGATAACAAACAGTTTACCTTGAGCGTAAACTAACACATCGGTGCCGTCATGTGGTACCTCGTGGGTTCTGACACCAGCTTGCTGGGAGTAATCGAAATCATCAGTGTCGATCCTCTCTGGATCCTCTCTGAATACCGTCTCGTTGATGATTTGATATTTGTAGTTATTAGGCCCTCCAATTCCATAGAGTAGACTGGTGTATGGTATACCATCAATTTTTGAATTGCCCGCGATTCCGGTGATCTTCTGATCGCGATCGGCGTAACCCGCGATGACCATTGGATGGCCATGGTCACTGGTGACGATGATCAGAGTCTCTTCCAGGTTGACCATTGCCATAGCTTTGGAAATAGCTTCACTAAACGATATGGTCTCGCCCAGGGCCTTTTTTGCCTTGCCACGATGATGTCCGTAATCAATGAGACCACCTTCAACCTATATGTAATTAAGAAAACAAAGTAAGGCAAGCGTGCTTGCGTATTACTTGATTACTTAGTTACCAACAGTACGTAGCCGGTGTTTCTTTTTTCCAAGAGTTTGATAGCAGCTTCAGTCATGTATGATAAGGAGGGCATACCTCCATGTCCTTTATCTCTTTCGTGTTCCATGTTCATGTGACCATTGGCGAATATGCCCAAAGTGTAATCGGTTATTTTCATTTTTTCTATGTCACTGCTGTTTTCTAAGAACTGGTGGGACACATTTCGGGTCATTTTATCACTGACCCAACCATTGATCAATTGCCTACCATCTCTGCTGTAGCAAGCCCAAGTGTCTACAAAGTCTTTGGTACGATTTACTGCATTTGATTGGAGCATTTGACGACCTCCACCCATGATCACCTAGAAACATCATCGTCAGTAGTAAATTTAAATTTTAAAATTTGTTATTTCAACTCTTTACATTTATATTTTTCCCTGGCATATCTTCAATCAATTGCCTAGCGATATCTTTACATTGTGTAGCGTTGGGTGGCATGGTCGCCTCGCATTCCCAGTATCTACTTGCAGTGTGCGCATATAAAGCAGCTGGTGTCGCATGGGTGACCCTTGTGGTGGTCACGAACCCAGTCGACATTTTCGCACGCTGGGCCCAGGTAAAGAATGACTCCAAGCGGGTTTCCGGTAGTAAAGAGCGCGGGCAGTCATTTTGTTGGACAGTTGCGTCAACCCCACCTGTTCTTTGATTCGTTTTTACTCCGGTGAACAGGGCCGTTGCGGTAGCCATCGAATCCGGGACTAATTTATTAGCAGAATACGTCTATGAGATAAATAATTTTATTGAGTGTTATTTTGTAGTTAAAAAATAGTTTTGTATTTGAAGGTACCTTAAGTACACCTATATGCGGTAGTTTTTCAAAAGCCAGGAACCCTTTTTCGCCTTTCTCTAAAATTCTTGATGCGGTGACAGTGGACAGTCCCATACCATCACCGACGAATAGTATCACATTTTTTGCTTTCCTGGTATTCTGTTGGACTTTGAGTGCACGATGGATATCGTATTTTGCCATATTACCCCAGGACGCTTTGTCTACAAGCAATAATAGTTTATCAACAAACAAACATGTAAAATGGTGATCAATTTACAATTAACATTGAATCATTAGCATGGTACCAAGTAGTACTTTAGAAATTTGAAAAAAAATTTAACCGTAGACGATTTCCGGAAATTTGCACATAATTATACATAAAATTGATTACCTAGGTCAATAATGGTGTCCCTTGACCCACAAATCACAATTTTAAATGCCCACAGCTATATTTGGTTAATTAATTAGTAAATTTTGAAATTTTTTTGTTGGTTTAAGCATAAAAGTGTCGTTTTTACCTTACTTAAATTGAAAATATCAAAAATTTTCGTCGTGTGAAAATCAAACATATTTCACGACAAAAAATCAATAAAAGCCAAAGACGTACTAAAACGAAAAACGATTTCACGTTATATTTTACACGTGGTTGTATTCCTGCTGGAGTGTAAGTGATTCGAGTTGCACACAGCTGCATGCTGTCGATAAACTCCACACGGTGGCAATAAAATGAGTTTCCGAAATGTTATAAAAAATTAATTGACTTGCAAAAATATGTGTACAAATTGGAACCTTGTGCCGGACATTAACTTTCAAACAAATCAAGCAGAACTCTCAGCGCTCTCAATAGAAATTTAAATTTATAACAACATTATTATGAAACGATTGACCTCATTGTCAAGAAATTGGCTTATTGGAACTTGTTTGCATATTTTACCACTCTATTCAAACTTATGATATTAATGCCATAACTATACATTCCGAATGTGCATACACCGAAGAAAATTTTATGCAATTAGATTTAATTTGATAGTATTCAGCGATTTGTGTTGGTTTGTGTACGTCTCACAAACAATAAATTTAATTGTCATCGTCATTAACGATGTTTCAATCCTATAATCACGCGGGTTTAGCTTCAATGTTAAATTTTCTATATATACGCGAGGAAGTGTAATTATTAAATTTGATATGAATGAAGCATTATTATATGAATGTCATAACGTGAGAATACAACTAGAAATAAAATTATTACCTTCGGTGCTGATGTACTGCCCACCGATGGAGACAATCGCCAACGCTCCTAAGAGCAGTAGAAACCATTTGGAGTCCATCATTGGTCGCACGGGTTGCTCCTCCGAATTCGTCTTGATTCGCAATTACGGCAAGGATTAATCAGTTAGCCGTTTCGCGGTTGAGCGGTTTATCTCCGGCCACGACGGTGTGCGCCAGCGAAATGAGCCAAGAAAGGAAGCGCGTTTACGAGGTAATAAACGTCGCGCACGTAAACGACGCCGCCGGCAACGTGAAAACGACACCACGCCGCGTGCCGAACTTTGCAACCTATATATATATCTATATAGGTATGGAGGTATACACGTGCACTACCACCTACTTACTGGTACCCTGTCGTTGACGGCCTCCTGATGCGTCGTGACATATCGATGGGAATGCGGCTGCGAATGTTTTGATTAGCCATCTGCAGCCCGGTGCAGTCCGTACACGTTCGCCGATTCTGCGATGCGTTGGCTATATAGGGCGGCGGAATTAATTTCGAGACGGTATCGTTGGAGAATCGCCGCCGATTGCGTTTTATTTGATGTTTGTTGTTGATGGGTGGAAAGTCCGAAGCAATTTGCTCGTAGTTGAGTTTCTGCTTTTGGTACTGCAGGAGGTGAAGCATGAGGATGTTTAGGAGCTGATCGAAAAGTTGTGTAAACTTCTTTTTCCATCTATTTGTAAGATTACCAGTCTTTATAGGCATCGAGGCATTGAGATTGATGATTCTCTATCTGATAAGAGGTCATCTATTTATGTTTTAGGTGTTATCTGTGTTCGGTTTATTATTTGACGTAAAAACTGCGTTGTATGAGGAGTTATAAAGATTTAAAAGTAAATTTGATCTTTCATATCAGAAATTTCAAATTAAAAAAAAATTAGACTTGATTGGTTTCTCGTGCAGTTGCAGCACAAGGGTCTTGAACTTTGAGGAGCTCCTGAATTCGTTTTGTTGCTCGTAACTCAGACAAAACGAAGCTTAATGGATTTTTTACATCATTCTATATCAAATTACTAGCTGTTGCCCGCGACTTCGTTCCGGCAGTGTTTAATAAAAATGTAATTCGTTTTACTCTCTTGTTCTAGACATAGGTACTCGTAGTAAGAGTCAATTCTATCAATAAGATTAGCAATTTTAATTTAAAGAAATTAATTATATAAAGTTTTGTCAATAATGCACTTCAGCGCGCCATCTCGAATTCAACTATTTAACTATAACTATGATTGAATCTCAATGTCAAATTTTATTCTATAGAAAAGAGCTGTTTTGAGGATTTTCCCGGCAATTATTCGAATTTTTCTCACCTTTTAAACCTTCCCTAGACCTCCACGAATAATTCAAGACCAAGATAAGATAAATCCGTTCAGCCGTTCTCGAGTTTTAGCGAGACTAACGAACAGCAATTCATTTTTATATATATAGATTTGATTTTATTGATTAAATCCTTGAAACGGAAAGGATAAATGCAATTGTTGCATCATTCTGGTTAATACTTCTACAAACAAGTCACAATTACACTGGTCTGACGCAAAACTTTTTAATGAACTTACTAATAAAGTAATTAAAGTATTAAACTCTTATAAAGATCCGTCTGTGTATATTTTGTAATCAGCTTGCTTCCGTGGTTTCAAAAGTCATCTAGTTCAATTTTCTAGATGACAAAAACACGTAGCAAAGATTGTTGATGGTTGAAGAAGTACAAAATATTTATACAAGTTTTAAATAGCATGAATCAATGTTTGTCCAGACACTGCGAATCACCTGATTAAATGCCCCACGCGCCACTAAATAATTCACGTCGTTTTATTTTTCGGGGTCCAGGAGGAAAAATCTGTGGCGTAGACACATTAAAATTGTTTCGGGCTGACGAGCGGTTTTGAGATAAACGTTTTTAGTGCCTTGGAACGCATCCCCTTCGTGTTTTCGGCGACAGCGACGCGTGATGTTGACTATCTAAGGTCTACCGGAAAATCGTAAGTCGTGCGTGTTTTACGACCATTTTCAGTTGTTTGGACATGCAGACGGCCGCCATATACTGATATAATTTCTGATAAATGTTTTATTGGCACTCGTCTAGATTTAACTTTCCTGCACCGACCTTGAACACGCCGATATGCTACCATTTCAAATTGCTGGGAATATAGTTTTTTTTATTAAATAAATAAACATTTATACATTTGGCACATTGGGAGCAATATGCCTACAACATGAATACATGAATAGTTATATTTCAGTTGTATCGGCTGATGGGCTGATGATTATGCAGGTATTACATTTTTCCACATTAGTAGTAGGTACACAAAATATAAATATAAATATTTTATAAACCATCGCACATTGATATACCAATAACGAGCGTTATTGTTTATGCTTCGCCATTCCTAGACTCACAACAACAACAACAACAGCAATTGGTGCCATCTTGTATTACAAATTCACAGTACGTTTCCTTGCCAGTCTTTCCATTTACAATAAAGTTTATTTTATAACAGCGAGTTGTGATTACTACGAACAGAAATATCCAAACAAAAGTTCATACATTGTATATCATCCTGACCGGGTTTTGCCGCTTTACAAACATTCGGTTTGTCGAATTTGTCAACTATGGAAAAAGACACTTACTACAACTAATGATTCATGCCACCGACATCAGAGCCTTCATCATCCTGCATGTCACTTGTTTCCATTGACCGGAATGCAAAACAGTCGGCCGGCCGGCGCACATATATAACATAACCGAATCGCACACGACATAATTAATCATTCGACAAATTAATTAGTGTACGGATACCAGAGGGATGTGATTAATCATGCGCGTGTCGTCCGCGATAGACGCAGACGAACGCTTGGCGGTCGTCGTGTTATTCGTCAACACCTCCGATAACGAACTGCTCTGGGTATGCATGGTGGTCGTGGTGGTCGTCATCGTGTAGTCACGCGACTTCTTCACCTTCTTCTTGCAATCCATCCATTTGAATGGCGGGATATTTCTGTGAAACACTGCGGTATAAACTAATTTGAATACATGATGATGATGAAGTGCTTACCCGAGCAGTTTGCAGAAATGTGTTGAGAAGATGCAGTAGATGATTGGGTTAGCAGCGGAGTTAAGTGGAGCTAAACTCTGGATGAATGTTGCGATGGCGATGTAGGTTTGAGTTTGTGGGATATAGCCAAATACTTGTAGCAGGTCGAAGATGATGTACGGACTCCAACACAGGATAAATACTGGAAAAAATCATTTTTAAATGATTTTCTATTAATTTTTTTGAAAAATTTTGACACCTTACCACTAACTATCACTAGAGTGATTTTAACAGTCTTAACTTTTGCACGTGGGATCAACCCCCTGGAGCTCACGCGTCGTGAATTATCAGAACCTGAAATTCTCAGCAAACATCAGTTCCCAAGTATTTGCTAGATGTAGTGAGTATACCTAGATAGCCTTTGATCTTACTCTTGGTCATGGTGACGGAACTCTTGGACCATATCGTCAGGATGATGAACGCGTAGCAGCCGGCGATGATCGCCGCGGGTATGATGAAAAGCGACACGGAAACCAGACACATGTACAGCTGCCAATGCCACAGTTCGGGGAAATCGATCCAACACTGCTGCTTGCCTACGAGCAAAAGTTTCACGTGTTTGGCACCGCCGAAAAAAAAATAAAAACCGCCTACAACTTAAACAAATATATGCGCATGCATAAGCGATAAGAAACTCGCGCCGAAAAGAAACTGTTCCCATAAATTATTTACTTGACCCATTAGGCCGGTCTAATCGTCGTGTGACCTGGCTCATTTTTCACTGCGAATTTAAGGCGTTAATGCCCCGAACGCCATAACTCGCAATAACGCACCATGTGTACCGTCGCTGGCGAGGATCATAATGGTTGTTATTAATTAAAAGCCACTTTGTTCAGTCCGAAACCGAGGCCTACAGCTGGTCTCCCCGGATGAAGTAACGCTCGCCATTTTAATAAATACGAACATAAGTCGATTTGTTAGGGACGAAACGCATAATTATCTCATTTACGATTGATGTGCATGCATGGGAATGACAGCCGAACACGAGTCAATTTATATTTTAATTTTTATTTTAACTAATCGATGGTGGTATCTAAATTGACGTTAATTAAACCAGCAACCAGCTATCGCGCCCATCGAAATCATTGCGTTTCTACCAATTTCATCAATTTTAATTTCCGTTTGGAAATTAGTACAAGTTTTCTATCTTGTTTAATTTGCATAAAAATCAGATTACTATGTTTTCTGGAACTTGCAAGTGGTTTATAAATACTCACAATTCCAGTAACTGGGGATGTAAATAAATACCTTGAATGGATTTTTCTTCGTACAGCATTAATATCGGCGTGGAGAAAATAATGCTGCAGAGCCAAGCTGCTATGATTAGGCATTTGGCTCGCTTCCCTAGAAACAACGTCGAATATTTTTGATATAGTCGAATTGAATTCCAGCTTAAAATGCTTACAACTGCCAGAGAACTTCATCGGATGTCTAATTGCATCATAGCGATCTATGCTCAGCGCTACCAACACATACGTCGATCCGTAGGTTACCACCACCTGCAAACACGCAACCATCAATAAATCACCTAGTTAAGTCGTGGATTTGAATATGACATAGAAGTTGGCCCATTAATCTAGTTCCTCTCTATGGGCGTCAAGTATATAAACTCATTTTAGTCATAGTAAAACATTCAATACAACAACACAGAAAAAAAACGAAAATGAATCATTTAATTATCACATTTCTGGTAGTTTTTTGGAGGGCGATGATAATTGACAGTAAAACCCTCCAGCAGTTAACAGAGGAATCTCTAGAGGGTTGCAATTGCAGTCGGAGTGAGATAGACCCAGTGTGTGCCAACAACGGTGTGGTGTTTAACAACGCGTGCGAATTTCAATGCGCACGGAAGCACTTGAACGAGATGACCCTCGGAGGTGACGCGGATTGCTGCCGACGATGCCCCATGAGGTCCACGTTGGTGCTGGGTAATAACGGGGTGGTATACGCGAATACGTGCATATTTGATTGCGCACGGCGCCGTCATTACAACTTGCAGCAATGTCTTGAACATAGAAAAGGTGGAGATGAAGAAGATTGCGAATGTGGAAAAGTGTTGTCTCCTTCGTGTGGGACCGACGGTAACATTTATAATTCACCCTGTGTGTTCGAGTGTTACCAGAATGCGAGATGTAACGGAACGCGACAAGTTCAGATGTTGCCTTATCTACACTGCAAACACTAATAGAATTAATTTTAAGTATATTTAGATATCTAGGTATAATTGTTTTGATACTCCGAATAAAAATCAATGATATTCTTATTTGTTGAATGTCTCAAGGTGAGTGCGGAATTTATGCACCGCACTCGCCCTTGGAGGCTGGATAGATGCTAGCGCACATCAATCGGCATTCAATCGCGTACGTCACGCAGACGGGGGCGACGTGCATTTGCAACCCCCTTGAGGCGGCGGTGATGGCCAACCGTGGATTGATGCGCCGCACGCACTCCAGCTGGCAGTTTGCTTGTGTAGGTGCGATTATCAGAACCGCATCGGCTCAAGGCCGCCCCCGCGTCGGCCGCCGCGTCGCATTCGCAACAAGGATCACTGTTGATGCGGTGCGCGCACTGGAATACGCAGGGATTTGCGTAGGTCTTCCCGTCCGAGCCGCAGATGGATACATCCCCATCGCGTGTACAGGAACAAAATACTTCCTCGCTAACCACAAGCACGTTTGTATCCATTATTAAGCCTACACTTAGTACAACCAACAATACGCAAATCATTCCTTTGCTTTCCTTTGAATATCTTGAACTGGTTTCAATGCGAATCGCTGCATTCTATTGTTATAGATGTTTACGATAGAAAATTTTCCGCCGGTCAACAAAACGCAGCGACCTAGTTATTCAGCCAGTTTTCCCATTATCACTACATGATAACACAATAAGAAATATTGGACAACGCGTGCTCAAATTGAGCGGAACCGTTTTGATTCACTACGTTTATCGCCAGTGGCAAGACGCGCGAGATTTTTACGCCGCACGCCTCAAATTATTTCTCATGTCCGGGATACGTTCGCGGAAACTATTTTGCGTCGCGCTGCGGGCACATTGACGATACGTACCTGCAGGAATTTCACCAATTTACATGCGATATTTCCGGCGTTCCATGAGATCGTCATTCGCCAGACAATGTCGGTGAGCACACTGATGAGTCCCACTAATAAATCTGCGAAAATAAATGTGAACAAGAGTTTACCGAGAATGAGAATAGTGAAGGAATGTTTACAACAACAAAACGTTATTTCCCGCGTGCTTCTATTTGTTTATCCCTCAAACGCAACGCTTCTGCGTTTATTTTCCGTATTTTTTGCGTAAAACATTGGATTTTATTTCAAAGTGGGATGCAAGCAGGCAACCCACGCCACGCTTTTCAGTTCTAATACTAGTTGGGCCCTTTGTTGTTATCGTATAGGGTGATAGGATTCTGTCATGATCAGAAACGTGGCTATTCTTGCATCATAATATTTCCTGAGTAAAAACTTTCCAAACAATACGTATTTTGTTTATTGTAAAATGCTCGAAGGAACACTATCCACATCACTTGCAGAAATATCAATTTTGCATTTTCTATGCATAAAATACAGAAATACGGTGTATTTTTTAATTAAACTCCACTGAATTCGATACAAAATACTTCTGTATTTAATTAATGTGTACCAGATACTTTTCCAAATAATTCCCCGCGCTGGAAACTAATTTGTTGGGATTCCAAGAAGTATTCGGTACATTCCCCGAAGGTTTAATATCTAGTTCGTCGCAATTCGTGGCTTACGACTTTTAATACCACAACGAGTTCATTTTCTCTACGATTTTGACGAGATTTTTCAATCGTGTATACAATTGTTTGGTACCTGATAAAGCCAAGTGACTGATGAAGAAGTTCATCCGGGATTTGCGTGACTTTCGGCTGTAGAGCGTGATGAGCACGCCGAAATTGCCAGCGACAATGACAACAAAGAGGATCCATAATACGGTGAACTGTTCAGCCTGAAAGCAAATTACAAGATAAATAGAAATGCGAACGCAATAATACCGCGCAGGAAATTAAAACTGTGTTAATTACATACGATACAAATTCAATTTACACTTGTGGTGTTTATAAACGACCACAAAATAGTAATATATAATTAAAATTAGTATTTCGTCGGTATAATATTAAAAATTCAGAGATTTTTTGTTTCTATTCGAATAATTTATATTTTTAACTAGCTGTTGCCCGCGACTTCGTTCCGGCAGTGTTTAATAAAAATATAATTCGTTTTTACTCTCTTGTTCTAGACATACTCGTAGTAAGAGTCAATTCTATCAATAAGATTAGCAATTTTAATTTAAACAAATTAATTATATTAAGTTTGGTCAATAATGCACTTCAGCGCGCCATCTCGAATTCAACTATTTAACTATAACTATGATTGAATCTCAATGCCAAATTTTATTCTATAGAAAAGAGCTGTTTTGAGGATTTTCCCGGCAATTATTCGAATTTTTCTCACCTTTTAAACCTTCCCTAGACCTCCACGAATAATTCAAGACCAAGATAAGATAAATCCGTTCAGCCGTTCTCGAGTTTTAGCGAGACTAACGAACAGCAATTCATTTTTATATATATATATATATATATATAGATGTTGCATAACAATTCCGTGACACAAAATCAAATAATTACGAAAATCTGATGCTCCATGTCTACATGTTTCATTGTTTCTGTTTCTGTGGAAACAACAATCAACTTTTAATATATTTTAACAAATTACGAGGAAGTAGATCTAACCTGCCGCATTCGAATTTTTCTCTCTGAGTAATCAAGCAGAATCATGTCTGATACGTCTGATATAATTGATCTAATACCAGAAATCGAAGTGGTAAGTGTCCTTGCAATACCACCCAGCATTAAATAATTCCTCCTGATCAAAATCTTCTTCTAAATATAGAAGAAGGAGGAACCGGAGGAGTCCGAAGATTCGCAAGACGATGAGGATGTCAAGCCAAGCCCGACTCCTATTTCCGTATTTGATTATATCACTTTCCTTCAACTGATGGCTAATTCCCTCAAATTTTCCCTGCGTTATACATTCGTTGTGGAGAGATCCCCGGATGGTCAACGTCAGTCAATCGTTAAATTGTTCCGACGCCCTGTTATGGAGTTCTATGGCGAGGGATTAGATATCGTTGATGCTGAGAATGATGCCGCACGCAAAGCCGTCGAGTATTTACAGATGGAAGCGCGTCATATTAATTATTTCTATTGTTGAATATTTTGATTATCGTTGTCCATTTCAACGGTTGCATTATAAACGCAAATTACGTTATAATTAGTAAAATCGCTGGAGGCTTGCGATAATTTCAATTATATCGTACAGGAAATTAGCAGAGGTTAATTGCACACCTCAACAAATTCAATTTACACTCCTGCCGACTCGAATCGACCACAAAATACCAGCGTATATAATTAAATTGTGTTTGGTCGGTAATAAACGACTATTAAATCTGTGGCGATGAATGTGCTGAGTTTTGTCCGCATTACAATTGTCTGAAGTGTAGTTGATGCAATTTAACGTGCTTTTCTAACCTGGAGTGCCGACAGAGCGGCAATAAAAAGTGATTGATGAACGCCTGATTTATCATTGGCTGCTTCGGTGTTAACTCGATGCGCGTTCTTCCGACGCCAACAAAATCTACTCGTAAGCCATCTTTCACCGAAGGTGGTGATTATTATGATGGCGGATGTGAAACTGAGCACTTCCACAGCCTACAGCTCATTGAAAGATAAAACCCTTCCTATTTTTTTTTCTTTATATTTGTCATTTTTTATTCACTTCCTAACCAAAATATTTGACTAAAAATATTTTAGATTTGGAGTTATTTGTTTATTCGTACACAGTGTATGTTTTAACTTGACCGATCTTGATGGCGCGTGACTGTGAATCTTGTAGCGATGTCGTAAATCATTCTGTCGTTTCGATTATTATAATGGGTATCGCGACGCGCTCGCGCCGTCGCACGCGGCACCGAAATATGTGCAAATATCAATAATAATAATAAACCTTTTCCCCGAAATAAGAGTGCTAAAAGCTCGCCTCTGAGGCCTCTGAGCAATCCCGTATCCGTCGCATTATGCTAATCACGCTCAAATTGCTGCTCTGGATGCGCAAAAATCCATCTACGTCGATTACGACCATCAAACTGGCTGTAATTTATTTAACGTGCGTTGGGTGGTTCCAAGTGTCAGCAAATTATAGTCGTCACTTCAAAAACGCTGCGTTTAATAACTAAATTATTCAAATGATCGCCAAAGTTTAGCGCACATTTTAATTCAACTTAAATTAGATTACCAACTATCAAAACAAATCAGATTGAACTATTCAAATATTTGCGAACTAAAATGAGGCGGAAATTTCATTTATAAAATTAGTTGATGACGGTTTGAGAGGTTTAAGCGGAAGGCACGAAAGGAATGCATGGATGAGGGTGAGGAGGGTGGAAAAGTACACAGAGAAGAACAAGGAACTGGATTTTCCTTCGTGCGGAAAACACTCGGTTTCTTTTTGAATCTTTTGTGCTATTTTATTGCAATTTATCAGTTTACATCTAATATATTTTTTAAATTCTTATGTAATCCGATAGGTCACGTTCTCAATTAATAAATTTGAGTTCTTTTCTTTTTGCTTCGAGGAGAAACATGAGAAATTTAATTTCCGTTTAAAGATTTAAATACTAATATGCAAAATAACATTAAAACGTTGGAAATTATCGCCAGAAATTGTTAATTAACTGAATAACTTTTGATGAGCTTTGGTCGTAAATGTATTCAATATCTGAGCATCATAATATCACTTGTTGACATAACTGTCATAGAGCACATTTTTATTGCGCTTGTAATCATCTGGAAACATAATCCCGATACGTAATTATCCTAGCTGTAAACTTAACGATTCTTTGTATTGGTCACAATGTAACACAAATTCAATATCTATCTATATAGATATATATCTATATCTATATATCTATCTATATATATATATATATATATATATATATATATATATAAATGAATTGCTGTTCGTTAGTCTCGCTAAAACTCGAGAACGGCTGAACGGATTTATCTTATCTTGGTCTTGAATTATTCGTGGAGGTCTAGGGAAGGTTTAAAAGGTGAGAAAAATTCGAATAATTGCCGGGAAAATCCTCAAAACAGCTCTTTTCTATCGAATAAAATTTGACATTGAGATTCAATCATAGTTATAGTTAAATAGTTGAATTCGAGATGGCGCGCTGAAGTGCATTATTGACAAAACTTTATATGCATAATTTCTTTAAATTAAAATTGCTAATCTTATTGATAGAATTGACTCTTACTACGAGTATGTCTAGAACAAGAGAGTAAAAACAAATTACATTTTTACTAAACACTGCCGGAACGAAGTCGCGGGCAACAGCTAGTCGAAGATAAAAGAAACAGTTGGTTAGACGAGTTAAGATCTGCAAGGAACCTAAGAAGTTGCGATTGGACTCAGTGCTCGCTACCTGCAAAAAGTAGTGGGGGTAAGAAAGGGCTGAGGTGTGCCTTTTCTTCCTCTTTAGGTACTGGCGTACCCAGGAATTAATATTTGAGATGACGTATAAGTAAACGCAGCTAGTATGCACTTTGTTTACCACCACTATTCCATATCACGTGCATAGTCTATACAGTTTCAAATATTGCATCTTGTTTACATTTATTTGCATGAACAAGTGAGATAGTTGTATCAAGAGCAGGACGGTTATTGCAGTGTCTGCATTGTGCTGCCCTCAAAACCGAATAATCCGCACTAATATTATCAGCTGCGTGTTGTTTTCGTTCGTCGCGATCGCCGTCAACACGTGGTCGTGTTAAAATTAGTCAAATCGTGGTGTTAAGTGACTTAAAACCTCCGAAAGTGATCCGAAATCATCGCGGCTACCAACACTCGGTGAGCATACCTTGTTTTCTAAACATTTCCGCCTTGATACCCAGCGTGTGCGTGAAATAAACTTTTCGCTTTCCGAATTCCTCCTCGCCGAACAAGACAATGATTTACGATAAGTAAACAAGCCGGGCGTCGCCGACGTCCACGCACGATACAGTTACCACTTGCACCGAACGAATACTATAATTAACATCTCGCCGCTTAAAGATAGTAGGCGTTTAATTAATCACCGGCATCGGCGCGAACGCGCGCGCCAACTAATTAATTCGCATTATTCGGTAGCGCGGCGTCGTAATACGGCTCAATATTGATGGCTAATTTAAATACCGCTGCCGTCGAGTCGCGTTATTAATCAAAGAGTTGTTATAGCGTGAATATCGCGAACGTTTCCACGGCGTGTTGATGTTGACGTTGATGTTCAAGCTAGAATGAGCATTGTGTCTCGTATGTTTTCGGCGTTGGAATGTGTGCAGTGTATAATTCATGCACAATGCGAAAGAAAATGTGTTGGGATTGAGATAATTAATTAACTCGACAATTACTGTCGACAAACTGACAGATCTTGAATTATTGAAACTAAAATCGCTGGTTTTTTCACTTTAAAGTCACATTACGAGCTGAATATTCATCAGATATACAGGAAAATAGTTTTATCAGACAGAAGAAACTATAAAAATTATCGTTTTACTTAAAAATGATCCAGGACGAATTTAGAAACTCCTTAAAGTTGAATTACCGTATCAAAATGCAATTTATTTTTCAAAATCTTGAATATTTTTTTATATTATTCAAAAAACTGCTTTCTAATGGAAGTATTACTCATAAAGGAGTGAAATTTAAGAGTTTTTCGTGAATAAAATGAAATAAAAATGAAAATAGGTCTCTAATATTCTAGGAAATCCATTAAGTCCTTGATTTTGACTTCAAAGTGGAAGCAAATATAAAATTTTTGAATCGAATTGAATTGAATTCCATAATCCCTGATTTAAAAAATGAGATAATGTCTCTTTATGAATTTTTTATTATAAAACTGCGACATATTTCGCCAGTGGCATTATCAGATGAGTATTGGTAAATATTTAATTCATAAAAAAAAATTTATTTTTTAAAATCAATGAAAATGAATTTTGTCTCCTAAAATGAGTCCCCAACCAAACAGATGTTTTTAAATATCATTCAGGTTTACCAGATTCGATCTGATTACTTACAGTACACAATTGATTCGGCATGCGCCTTCTGTTTTCGTCGTTAACTCCGCGTCCGGCAGCTTCCGCTTGAAAGGCAAACAAAATCCGCGCCGATATTTACGTTGTGCGGATTACGCACCAAATTCAATCCGCAGATATCGTTCGGAACGCGCGCGCGGACGCACGAATCTATCACGGCTTCACGCACAGGCGGAAACAGACGATCATCATCAAGACGACATCAAAAAAGTTATAAATATCCGCGGGCGCGCGCCGGCTGCCGTGTTTGCGTCCGATCTACGAATGTGACAAAAAATAGCGAGCAGCAAAATTAATGTTGCACTCGCGACGCGCCTTCAAATAACAGACGCCGACACTCCGAATGTGTTAATCGCGCGCACGGGACAATGTACGCCATCGAACAGATGTACCATTAATTAATTGGCGGATCGCGTTCATTTGACATGAGATATGTTTTCCAACTCATTGAATAACTACCTATGTCAGGAACGATTTAGTATTGTATCCAACAATCATTCGGTTATTCGTTATTTTTCGCAGAACTGAACAAAGAATGAGGATAAACTATTTTTCCACAGCTAAAAATAAATAAATCTCAGATTAGGTTGCTATAGTGAAGACATACAAACTAACGGAAGCATTGTTGGCTGCATGCAGCGAATCATAACGTGGAAAATTGAAAAAGCGACACATAGTGATGTTTTCCGAGTTGTCTCTGAACGAATTGGACGGACTTCGTATGCTTCCCTGATTAAATGTCGCCTTAATTAATCATTAACTGAATAAACTTCAGTTTTGTTTTAGTAGAAAAACGAGCACTCGTTATGAAAGATTTTTTTATTCATGAGATTCGCGTGGTAGCAAGACAGTTTTTAGTGAATAAAATGAAATAAAAATTAAAATAAGTCCCTAATATTTTTCGGGATAACACAATATCGCTTGAGATCCGCGTGACTGGACTGCTGGAGGGCTCTGGCACGACTGAGCACCGTGGTCGCTGCGCGCAGCCCTTTTATACCTGCAAAAAGTGGTGGGGGTGAGTCGCGCTACGATGATTAGTCGCAACAAGAAGTAGAAGAGGGGGAGGGGGTAGGTTGAGCTTACCTGTTCTTATGACAATAAATTTGTAATATATTAGTAAATTACAATGAGTTTTAACAGATTAAATTAATGAAATCGCATAAATTTGGCTGTTTTCCTCCGTTGCCAGAGTCGTAATTTAAATATTACAAACATCAACTGTTTCGAATTGATATTTTCAGCGTAAAATCCGCGAAAAAAGTCTCTCATGCGTAACATGGCATATCACAATTCGGCAACACAAGAATCCGAAAATTTATACACTGCCACTGGTGCTGCGTGTTGGCGAAATTCCAAACCCTATACAAAATAGTCGAGTACATCTGGTCGGTGGTCTCGCGCCGCCGAGTGACGCCTCGCCGCGAATTCATTCAATATTCAATGGAATGCACTAAACCGCGCACTTTATTATGGACACATTCGCGCCAAGCATCAAAGTCGTTGTCACGGCCTCCGCTCATCATCCTGCTTGTTTCATGTTGTACACCCATAGATTTTACGATTTACATTTGATGTCAACATTTTACGCACCCAGCGCGTAATATTCTATTCGAAATTATGCGCGACTCGCCATGCGTATGGGGCAGGACCTACCCTAAAAAATCGATACGTTTAATTCGGTGTGCGTGTTTTCTTTTTGTCCTTCCGTACTCTCATCCCGAAGTGTCGGGCTCGTGCGTATCATGTTATATCCTCCATTCTCTCGCGTTTCGTTTTACTGCGTCGTGGAAGACTGAAGACGGAAGTTGCCTGAAGTCCGCTCCTAATTTATTTAGCATCCGTTCGCGACCTTAACCATGATATCGGCGGTTATACTTAGCGATACGACCTATCACAACGTTCGCGGCGGGCCAAATCCCGTGCTTTATTCGTTCCGCTACTTGCGCACCCAGCAGATAACACTGCATTCATGTTAATTAAATGTTTATTTGTGGGGAGAAATGCGCGGATTTAAGTCATATTCATGGGACGAGCGCGCCGAACGTCCGAAACATCCGCATTATGTAGATTTTGTATCATGGAAAGTGACACCAGCCAAATTTATTACGTTCTGGAGGAGCACAAAGAACGAAAGAAGAAAATAAAGCCATATTATAAGTACTCGTATGATATTGATTTGTATAATTTTGTTTTTTCTCGGCTAAAATCTTCTAACATTCGAAATATTATCTTGAACGATCGAAAATAGGTCTTAGAAGAAAGACAACAATAATATTCAACGTTTTTTAAGATAAAATAAGCGATAAATGTTAAATTAGCAAAGTTTTATTGCATTTTCTTTAGGTTTCTTCAAATTTTTAATTTTGTAATGCGTAAAATTTTTTACACATCTTTTTGGAGAAGTAAACGGCATTATTAACATTAATTAAGCCAAATATATGGCAAAAATTACTATTAAGTATTTTTTAGACGTCTTGTTGAGTAGTCAAGCACAAAATACCCTTTTTTATGCTTGAAAACACATAAAATCGCTTATAACTTTTCCACTATGATTCAAATTAGAAAGAAACTTTCAAGATTTGATTTAGCTCTTTAGAGAACTTAGTTAAAGACAACACCACAATGCACAACTGCGCGAAACTTGCTAAGTGCATTAGAAACACCCAATAAAACAGTTTAATTTCTTACTCATTACCATCACGCCGAGATTGTTCTAACTGGCACTGATGTCTGATAAAAATCACCTGAAATGAATGTCCTGACGTCCTCATATTCCCACAGTTCGCTCGCCGCTCGGCCTTTTTGCGCTCTCCGAGCGAAAAACACGCTCAACAGATTCGTGCGCTTCCACGTCCGCCGTGCTTCGCATACGAAATGAGCGTTATGATATGAGCGAGTTGTATGTTTCGCTGATGCCGACAATCGCGACCGCATGCCTAATGCCGAAACATTCGCGACGTATTAACCGTTCGCATTTGCGGGCAATTTGCGTAGCCACCAGCAACCCGCACGAACAAGCGCCGCAATTTCGCATTCGATTCGAACGTTTTCATTTATCATCCGAAACATCCGAGCAGAAACATTTCTATTCTTTCAGCGTACACAATCGTCACAATTCACAACAAGCGCAACGTCAATAGGTAATTAAACTGTGCGTACAATCGCTGAATACACAAAATTTAACATGCATTAGATACTTAATCATGACTCTTGAATTACGAGTACTTTCATGCATGATGAGTGTTGAAAGATTTAAACGCTCGCATTTTTCACATCCGCAATGCATTCATTGAAAAGCCGCCGGGAGCGCGGAAGTTGATGACCGTTAAAAAGTTGCCCGAAATCTCGCGGAAAATGTGAGTTCAACGCGAGTTTTTCTTATCATCGCTTATTTCTTACGCGCGCTTAAGCATTCATTGTAACCGCGCGTATAATTCACGGTTCGTACAAGAATAATGCCAGCGCCGACGTCGCGAAACTTTTTACGTACTGCAATTTAATGTGCTTTAAACAAGTTGCGCGTACGCGAATTATTTTTTATCTACCTTTCGAAACTTCGCCAAACATCTAATACGCACATACAAATAGATTACAGGCTATTGAAGGAAAGATTCTCAAGCGAAACATTATTTAGCTAAGGAAATGAGTGATGGTTGCAATAAAATGAAAAAAACTTTGAAGAAAAATACTGCGCGACCGGTGGAGAGGAAGTGTCATATCTCTTTCTGCTTTTCCACGTCGTAATTAATAAACATCAAAGTCGCGCAACGAGCGCAAACTTCTTGTTGCAATTATTTTCGCGCTGGCAAAGCGAAATATTTTGCGTTGCGGCGCTAATGAAAATTTTAAAGTTATTATTAGTTAACATATTCACTGGTTAGATAAACTAGTTTAGTTCTGCATTAGTATTCGGAGAGGGTTTGGACAATCACGGTCGAATTGGAGTTCTGGCTACGTATTAAAAGCGTTGCAAATTGCCTAATTGTCCTGCACGTTCCTGAAGGTCACTGAATACTGAATTATGTGGGTGTGCGGGGCAGGAAATTTATTAGCATTAATTAAATTTAAATGGAGTAGCTAATAGCTAGGTTGTGATTAAAGAGAAAAGTGCAACATTCTAGAAAATCTCTTGCGCATACATAACCTATTTTTAACTCTATTTCTAAAACTATTTCGGAAAACTATGAAATTGCTTTTCGATTGTTGTTGTTTTGATGTGTCAAATGCACAATTTAATACGATAATATTTACAATTTCTAACACAAAAGATAGCTTATTCTATTTTTGGGTTTGAAACTGTCAAAATCAGCTCAAGATTTGATTTGAAATTGAATTTCTATTTTTCAAAAATAATTTCTAACAATGTTTAGGTTTTTCTTAACTAATTTCAAAACCTAAGTTATTTTATTTGGTTGAAAACCATATCCAAACAAATTTATTGCCAAGAAATCGTTAATGCTTTATTTTTCTACACGAGGTAAAACACTTTTTGAGTGAAAAAAATGCTCGCTTCACCTGAAAAAAAGCGCTTCTCGCAGCAGTTAATTAATTTTTATTGGCGTAAATATTATTTACCCTTCACTGAACGGCTTCTTTCAGATATGAAAACACTTGTTTCGTGCCACTGAAAATTACATGGACGTCGAACACAAAAGACTTCGTCGAAAAAAACCGTATAATATCGCGGCGGGTATAATTAGCCTAAATTTGATTTAAAAAAACTTGTTTACTTTATCAATCGCAGCTTGACGCACAATAAAGACCCGTTTACGTAATTGAACGTAAATTGCGCCCCACATAGATTACACAAATATCATTTCTGAGATACATATAAATATTTTTTATTGTTTACTTTCCACTTGGATTTTCATGCATATGGAATTTATTTCGGAGTAAAAAATTCGTTTGGAATTCAATACCAATAAGTAAATGTTTATTCAGCGCTATTTCTAGCGATCGTTTGCGAGTGATAAGGCGCCGATTTTGAGTGTAAAAGGTTGTTAATTACACGCGCACGCCGGCGAGGCAGGCGAGCACGAGATCAAAGACATAATTAACGATATATCGAAATCAATTAACATTTCGCTTCGCTGTAATGTGGAAATAATTGCTCGTAAAGCAGGCGTTTCGCATTTCTTCCACTTGCTGCGCGTCGTGGGCACTTATCATATCATCGTATCACGATCGACGAATTAATAAATAATCAAATTCATGCCGCGGAGGTGAAATGATGTGAAACGTAAAAGATCAGACACAGCACGCGCGGCTGCCGGTCGTGGTCTGTCATTCATTAGCGTGAACATTTTGTGTGGTCTCGGCGAGCGACGCGCATTAACTAGTTAAGCTTTGGGAAAAACTTGCGAAGCTCCCAGAGGAGCTTTTGCGCGACAGACGCGCAGACAAAAGTTAGACGCGACTTGATTTCTGATGTATTATCATCTCATACGCATTACGCATTGAATAAGACAAACATTTCGACGATAAAATCAAAGAAAATCACTTACCTCGTAGAAATAAAATGAATCGATGTTCGGATCCAAGCCAGATTGGTTATCCAGCGCTGGGTGCTCGGTCAAGTTGCCGATTTCTTCGTCTTCGGACACATTCATTTTGATATTTGATAATCACTCTGTGCGCGAGATGACGATTCTGGTACTGTTTATCAAGTCACACTTGGACGGACGCGCCGGACAAGTTCGCGCTAATTAGATAATTACTCATTTAGGCGCGAATATTTAACGCGCAATGTGGAAACAAGTGTGAATAATGTCTGCAAATTAGCCATGTTTATGAATGTAATCGTGTCGCGCGGCATGGTTTTTAATTGGCTGCAGTAAATTGATGCGATAAGAAAGTCGGATTTATTTTGTTGGTTTTTTCCACGCCGATGAGAGAGCGCGAAGAGAGGAAAAAATGATGATTTGATTTTAATGAGCGTTATATATTAAAGTGTTATTTATTGTCGCCGGGAATTTTAACGTCAAATTTATGAAGATTTATTAAATTACGGCCGGAGAAGTCCTCTCTTCGGACGTGAACCGATTTAAAAAAACTCGTTTTCTTTGCCACCGGACCGTGTGCAAGCACAAGAAGAAGTACTCGAATCCTTTCCCGACAATTCCACGTCGAAATCGACTTGTTGATTAATTACGACCGACCGAAACAAACGGATTTTGAGCGCTGAAAAGTTCGGCAAAAGTTTGTGAAGTGCGTCCACAAACGAACTGGCGACGGATGCTACTGTTGTTGGCTGACAGAAACCGGAAATTTCGAAGTTTGCGTACGAGAGACGATGTGGAGCTGATCATTTTAACAATGCGCGCGTTCGCGTCTCGACTGGACCGCACCACCGATTGAGCCGGCGTTTGGCGCGCGACTCGCGGCTCGCGCGTGTCGTCCTGGCCGACGACGGCGACGGCGGCGTCGGCGACGCGTGGAGTTGACGCGCGCGACGTCTTCCGCGGCGGAGGCGCGCCAGAGGCATGCGCGTCTGATCTTTCGCCCGGTTACCACTTTTCTTCGAGCTTTAACTTAACTAAAACTACGCGTAAGACCATGGAAAGACTAGAGATTGAGAAGAGGAGTTCACAACATATTTTTTTTTATTTAAAGTAGGTTTTTACTCATTCGATCTCTGATTTAACATTTATATTGCATTTTACAAACTGTTCTTGAAAGTTCAAGTCTTGAAAGTTTCTGGACACGTGCGAGTTGGTTGATTGACAGCGCAGTTAGAAAAAATTAATGAAAAATTCGCGAAATAATTGGAAAAACAAGAATTTTTGAAAAAAAATGATAAAGTAATCAATTTCAATTTTTAATTGTCATTAAAACATAACTGTAAATAATCTCAATGCTCTATACAATAAAAAATATTCAATAAATCAGGTAAACACGCAAAAAAAAATTTTTCATTTGACAAACATTATAGAATTGCAATATTGAAGAAAATTGCAAACCGGATGCATGATCTTCGGATCACCTGTGTGTCTTGCAGGCAATTTCGTGCGCATTTCGATATGATATTGAAAATTTTCTCTTCTTTCTATACCAATATCTCGACGCGCATCCACAGCTGCATTTTATCAAATATCTACTTACATTTCCTTAAATTCTATATTAAATTTTGATTATTTTCTGATCATTTTTTTGAAATTTAATGCTGATGTTAGATTAACTTTGGCGGTTTTGTTCGTTTTCCTATTGTAGGACGAACAAGTTCACGGTTGACGGTGACCTTTTGTTTGGCTGTCCATGCCACGAAAGTTTCTCCACTTCCGAACACTTTTGGAAAGCTTTTCGCGTCGTTCACTTCCCAGCCTATTTATTATTATCAATGGATATCAATGGACGAACTTGGCCGGTCGGTGTGCCGTCGCTTTAGCAAACAATTGTTGAGCATTTGTTTTTGCATCCTTCGCGTCGAGTGGAAAACAAATTAATCAACAAAAACCGGCGATTGGTCATTTAATTGAATCATTTCTTTGCGCTGCGTGTTTGTTTTTTAGATCAAAGAAAAAAGTGGAAATGAATGAATTCAAAAGAATCTTTTTTTGCTCTTGATTCGTTATCCTTGCACGTGACTTATATAATTGTGCTTGAATCAATATTTTGTGATAATTGAAGGTCAGTTAGTTAGAAAATTTCATAAGAAATTCATTAAAATTAATATTTTCTTTGTGCAATTGCAAAATTTTCATCTAAAAAAAATAATAAATAATAACGAAATTATGTGCTGTGTTGCCTTCTACGTCTTAAACCTGCGCGTGATTTTTATTAAATATATTATTCAGTGATTTTCGTCTTGTTGTAGCCGCTGGAAGAAAACACGCCGGTAATTATCTCGCGCCTAAATTGCTTTATAAACGCTCAAATGATTCCGAACAAAACGCACCTCTGTTTCGACAAGTCGCTTCGAATCAGCGCGAGGAGCTGTAATCGAAACCGTGTCAAGTTTGGCTGGCGTTAATCAAATTTTTCTAATGATAATAATCACGATCCACGCGCGCTAAGCTTTTTACGGTAGGTTAGTTTGTGTCATACCATGTGTCCGAAATCAAGACTGATGGATGCCCGACCACTATAATTATTAATCGTGCGCCCAAGTCTGGTTTCAATTTGTTCGGAATTCACGATGCATTCCTTCGGATATGAAGATGTTTCTTTCATTACCAGCTGCTTCATCGTTATTCATCATTATTTCTCGAATAGTTCAATGCTCTGCGCAGTTTTTTCTCGGTTTCACTTTTTCCCGAATTGTTCAAATGAAGTGCAGACTGGAAACAAAAAACTAATCTCACTGCTGTTACTGCCACTGTCATTCACTCGTGGATATATCTCATTATTCAGTTATTCATTTAGGAGTTCGGTGGAAGTTGCGAATAAGTCCAAAGATTACAATGTGCGAGACAACAACCGTCGAAATTTATGTAAACTCGTAAATTTTCAATGAATATTGGATTAAGTTGCCATGTGGAGCATTTATTTCACTCGAGGCGGTTCGCCGCGAGTATTTTCTTATTACCGTCCGAATAAACCGCGCATTGCGGCAATAAAAACAATATTTTGGGATGAAACGCCATAACTCAGCATCACACAGCAATTTGTCGTGCTATTAGTTTCCGGATTTATCGTTACGGCGGATTAGATCTTTACAATGTGCAGTACTCGACAATTTTCTTTGCGGACGCATTGAAAAATGGCGTTTTTCTATGCCTGCTCGAGTGAAAACTTCCGGCTTGCGTTTTATTACCTTCAAGACAATTCAACAACTTCTTCTTAACTTCAATCGATAAATATATATTGAAAATCAACCGGAAAAGTTTTTTAAGTACTATTTTATCGAACAATTCAATGTTTTTATATAAAACTGAGTTGTGTTAGTTACAACCTTTATAACTCAAGAACGGTTGGACCAATTTTGACGATCTATGATTTTTTAAATTCGTCTCCGTCCCGTCTAGGAGAATAATTATTAAAATATTGAAAATTATTACTTAAAGGGTCAAAAATTACATTTTTACTAAAAAATCGCAATATATTGTGGTACAATCAAGCCTACTTGTAGAGTGAATTTTCAGAAACGTGATTAAACTTCGTAAAATGTCGAATGCGAAATGCGGTACGTGATGATGACTTGCGTATGGTCAGTCTCGGTGGAAGCGCTTTAAAAAGGACGCCAGCTTTAAAAAAGCGCCCCGAGAATTTGATGTCGCTCATTCACGGCGCGCGCTGCGACACAAAGTGAATGTCATCCCCAGCATCCTCTCGCCATCCTCTTATTTTTCTTCGAGTCAACCAAGGCCCGCTCTAATATACGTTTATGGGATCAGCGGGAAGAAAGGACGGCGAACGCGCGCTATTGTGCGGCGCGTCGTGGAACTTATATAAATTTACTTCTTTAGTACTTTATGATGAAGGGTCGAGAGTTGGAATAATAAAAAACAAATTCTGGACGCGGCGCACACTCGGGCAAGAAGTGACCTTTTCCATCGGCCATCGCGATTTGCTGGCGCTATGACTACAACATCCGAGAGATTTCGTTGTTATAAATATCGCCGTAAAAATGATGGCCGCACATCGCACTCGCCGTTAAATACGAAATAAATTTCTATGCATGTAGACAAGGCGTTTTATATGGAAATTGTTCGTGTATAGCGTGAAGACGATTGTGACGCGGATTATCAATGAAAGTCGTGATTGAAAACATGTGTACGCCGGCTGGAAATATAGCAATCAACATTTTCTGCCTTTCGTCATGCGCGCGGTGAAGTTTTATGCTCGCGCATTAACGCCGGTTACACGCGCAGTCACGGTACGCCCACGTAATTGACACACGAAATCAAAAATTGATGCGCATCGAGCACGCATCATGCGTTTTTCAAGGTGGCACTTCGCTGGGAGATGATTTATGCGTGAGTTTTATTACTTTTGAATAATTTCACGCGTTTTACGCTGTTGTTTCGGACGCAGACAAGACAATGTCTTCATTTTCTCTACGGTTGAATCATGCGCAGTTGTAAAACCGTTAAAAATTAAATGGCGGCGGTTGAGTGTCCAAGGGGCGGGGCTTAGAGGCCTTTAAAATTATATTTTAATGTTTTTTTTAATTTTAACTTAAAAATTCAATATTATTCTGTTTTGATTTAAATCTCGATGAAAATTTAATTAAATTTACTTCCTAGTGATATCTCATTTTTTTTCTCTTAATTTACGGCCGTGGGTAAACTTATTGATTTAACTTTTTGATTTTCTTGGAAGTGGAGCGTGTTTTCGGTATCGCGTGGTTTGTCCTTCCTCAAAATGACTTTCTGAAGTGGTGTTTTGTTGCTTTCCACGCGGAATGCAATAAGGAAATTGTTACGGCCAACTTTATCGCATGTCAGTTTATCTCCTTTTTTTTTCATTTTAAATTACAATTGCAAGAGTCACATGCTTTCGTCCAAATGCGCCTAAAAGTTAACTACTTTCCCATCAATCTAATCGAATTGCAAACGTATGATAAACCAGACCATGTGGAGCGTGATCTGGGACGTGACTGCGCTGCCAATGCGCTTGATTTCCATTAGCAATTTGTCTTTAGGCCAGTCGGAGGAAGCTTTTTCGAAAGGGTCAGGATAAAAATTCGACTCCCGCTGCAATTTTTGCATGTTTCTATCATTCATGAAGCCCTATAAGTCATGTGTTGCATTTGTGATATGCACGATGACCTTTTAGGAATTTATTATTGCGCAACCCATAAAAATACCCGTCGTACGCGCGTATCTGATGTGTATTTAAAACGATTTCTTCCTTTTTCAAAGGCACATCATCATCGAATTGATTTATCATCATTGTCGTCAGCCAAAACAATCGCTGACTTAAGATGGCCTGCTACGACATGTCTTTTCGCCAGCGGGACTTGGGCCCCGAGCATCCCAGGAATTTAATACCGGAATTGTGCAGGCAGTTTTACAATCTCGGATGGGTCACCGGCACCGGTGAGTTATCTGCTGGGATTCATTACAAAACGCTGATTAGAGACGTTACACTTCGTTTCTAAACGTTTCTAAACGAGTGATGTTGACTAAGTGGAGCATGTGAAACGCGTTTCATTTACGTTTTACGTTCGTGTCGCGCGTTGTTATCAAGCTTCCACACGCACTTAATGCATTAATTGCTATCAAAATGTAGGCAAAACATTAAAAATGAAGAAATTCCTCGGGATATTACCATTTTACTTGCGTGCGACATGAAAAAACAACTTGATCCGTTTTCTAAACGCCCTCGAAGCTCATGAAAAGTGATTTATTGACATTTTTCGAATTCTCCCGGCTTTGTAATTAATTTTTTACCGTTTTTTATGCGCGTCGTTTCTCAGGAGGCGGAATAAGCATCAAAGACGACGACCGAATCTACATCGCTCCTTCCGGTGTTCAAAAGGAGCGCATCCAGCCCGAGGACATCTTTGTGCAGGACATAAACGGCGTGGACTTGGAAACCCCGCCGCCGTCGAAATGCCTGAAGAAAAGCGCCTGCACGCCGCTATTCATGGCGGCGTACACTATGCGCGGAGCGGGCGCTGTGATTCATACGCATTCTAAAGGTAACGCATTGAAATTTTTCAAAGTAATTAATTTATCATCGCTATTGAAATCGTCGTGCCGGGTGGGTAAAAGGATAATGTACTTTCAGCTGCCTTGTTGGCGACAATGGTGTTTCCCGGCAATGAGTTCCACTGCACGCATTTGGAGATGATTAAAGGCATTCGGAACTGCAAGCTGGGAAGGAACTACAATTACGATGAGGAGTTGATTGTGCCGATTATTGAGAATACGCCATTCGAGCAGGATTTGAAGGATAGTTTGGCGGCTTGCATTCAGGCTTATCCAGAGACGAATGCTGTGTTGGTTCGTCGTCATGGGGTATGTGTTATTCTAGAAATAAAATTTAAAGATTTTATTATATTCTATCTTGTTCCATATCAGGTTTACGTATGGGGTGACAACTGGCGACAAGCAAAAACAATGACTGAGTGCTATGACTACCTCTTCGACGTAGTCATCAGCTTGAAGCAGCTGGGCATCGGGTCGCACCTGACTCCCGAACAGTACGAGCTCAAGTATCAGGCCAACAAGGCCGGAAGACTGAGCGAATAAACCGCCTTGAGTGCCTTACATCGCCCACCGCAAACCCGTCATCATCATCATCATCATTATCATCATCTGGTAACGTCAATTAAACATAAACATATTCTATTCGTTTATGTCCCTTCATCAATTAAACCTACTTCTCCTTACTTTAATATCAATTATCAAGTACATGCTGAATGAAATAAATGGTGGAGCAATATCGCAAATAGAAAAATACATGATGACATTTACACAACAATATTATGTAACATAGAATCCTTTTCGTTATCAATTTTACTAATTATTCTCGTCTAGCGTCTCGTCAGGAAAACTTGCTTCATTATTATTACATCCAGATGAAATTGTACAGTGAGATTTGTAAGCAATCTGATGTGATTTAAGTTTCTGCGCGTGACGATCTTATAGTTGTTTCAGTTCTTAGCCTAATATCCCAAGATGAATGTGTGGTGTATTGAAAAAGTAATGTTTTGAATAAGAAGTAAGAAATAAATACGAATGTGACTTCAAACGCCATGGAACTGGCCACATCTCAAAGTAAGTTATAAAAATACCGAGCATCATAACAAAATATGTACAAATAGTTTTTCTCCGTCATCAAATGATTGCAATTCTCAACACTACTTTATTGCACTGTGGCTTTTATAGTTAGAACACGCCTAGATTGGATGTCTTCTCATAGAAGAGCATGTACGCTGTGCTCTGTAGGACTTCCTCCATACTGACTTCTCGAATTTCCACGTCGGAGGTGTAGAACCACTTGGATGTTTGGTTGCCGCGGCGATAGGTAACAAAGTGCCCGGAGTGGGCGTCACCAGAATGCACGACGACTGCAGCCAGCTGATATACATTACGCCATTCCTTGCCCATGTCGCTCAGGGATCCGGCGTTCCATGAGTGCGGCATGCTGTTGGAGAGCGGCGAGCCGCCCTCGCTGGTGCTCATGTATAGATTGGTGGAGACGCGGCGTTGGTACTGCGATTGGATGAATGTGTACGCGGCGAGAGACAAGCGCATCGGGAACTGCACGTAGTCCTGTCGTTTGGAAACTCCGCTGCCCTGCCATGTGTTTCGGGAGATGTGCAAACACAGGCATTGCGGCAACTTTAAGATAACAATAATATTTCATTAGGTTCAGGTTCAGGTAGAGCTATGTTTATGTGGATTATATTAGTGCACCAAGGGCCCGAGGTGATTTAATCTTGCTTTCATCTTCGATATATAATAGTCTTACCTTTCCAAAATTGAGTATTTTGATTTGCTTGGATAATATCGGTGGATCCGATGGTGACCGATCCCGGTTGCAGTGGTCACATTTCACATCCGCAATCATTTCAGGAGTGACAAAATTAGTCAACAACTGATGTAACTTGTGTCTACCATAGCCCAAATCACCCATTCCGCTTGGCAAAGCAAGAGAAAGACTCTCAAATTTATCGTATCGCACGCTTGACTAAATTAAAACACAAAACACGTAAATAATCTCACCTTTTGTCAAAATAACCATTAGTAATACTCACTTTATGACCACATTCAGTACACCGCAATTGGCTAGTAAGAGTACCACTGAAAGGATGCGACAGTGGTTGTGGTGGCGGTCCAGCAATCTGCAGACTCCTGCAGGAACGCGAGATCCATCTGTAGCGATGGCCGCCCACAAAGTTCAAACTTAAAGGACGACCGATATCGTTCAAGGAGAGAATACTCCCGCGTGGATCGTAATCCGAAGGAGCCGGACTCACCGAACGCTCGTCGCACGGAGTCATCAGCAGGTCATGCAAACCCAGTGCATCGGAAAGACATCCGGACTATTGAAAGGTAAATAGATTTAGATTTACATAATAATTGATTGATTTTGTGCATAAATCTGCATTGTTATGCTTGAGGAAACTCAAACATATATCAATTATTCATAAACGTATTAATTTAGCATCTAATCAAGTCAATATTTGATTAAAGTTAGTTTGATGACTAGTAATAGAGCAGGCATGATATTATAATGAGTAATTGATTGAAAACTACTACTTTTGATGTCAGTTGTAGGAGTATATAAAGATTGTCTACCTTTCTTGTCAATTTGGAACTTTCTTCATCTAAAGTAGTCAAAATAACATTCAATAGCTCATGTGCATCTTGCTCCCCAGACGGAATCACCCAGCCAAGTCGTTTTAATGCATTGATGACTGCGGCAGGTGCATAGGTTTCCTGCATTGATTTATGAGTACCATTCACAACTGTGAAAATCATACAGGTTAAAATACATTAAACGAATAGAAGATATGTAGATGTTACCTGACAAAACAGTGGATAATGTAGATCTAAGACTGGTCTCCTTTGCAAGCCGATCTTGCTCGAGCCAAGAGACAAACTGCGGGCATGCAGCGAGGGCGTGCAGAATAGCGTTGAGGAAACAAGTCTTGCCGAGATTGACTAAACCCGCAAGCCGCCCCCGTCCGCTGTGCCCGGTAGAGGGGCCCCAGAAAACGAACGCGCCGACAACGGCGGCGGCGGTTAACCCTGCCGCCACCAACAGCCTCTCATTCTCCATCGTGCAACTACCCTACTCTCAGCACCTTTTGCGCTGTCCCTCTGCACATGCCACCAATTTGCGGTACGTTTTTGATTCTTTTTAAACGTGAAATGTTTTAAGGTGGTTTTATAACCTCGCGATATTCGATACTTGATCAGAGTGAACGGTGTCCGCCAGACAACGATCGGAATAATTTCTGTTACATGTGAAGGTTCCCAAAACGTGTATATTTTCAATGTATATAACTGAATAATTTGGAGGCACAACCCGTATGCGATGCCGAAAAACGGATTCGCGTTTGTTGCTTTTCTAGCCTGACAGTTTGTAGCACCTAAACAAATCGTAATCAAATTTGGCGCGCACGCGCTCTTTTCATATAGCGCTGGTAGAATGCGCACGATGCGCATGAGCCTTGGTTGTGGCAGCCATTTTGTAAAAACACAAGTTTAAATTTTCTTTCTGATTAATTAGTGATTAGTTACACAAGTTTTAGGTAGTTTTGTTTAACTGCATACTCTCAGAAACCTGTTTAGGACACACGAAAGTGTTTAATGGTCACTACAAGAATATAATCACCAGGTATGTGAAAGTAAAAATTTCAATAATGGTTGCGTAAAATTATGGTCAAAAACGACGTAAATGAAAGCATAATTAATTGAAAACTTCGTATGTCTAATTGTATTTATTCTTAATCAAAGTACAAAAAAGTATTCGTACATTCCACCACATAAAAGTCCAAATCAAAAACTCAAAATAGTCAGGTCTGCAAGAAACAAAGTAATGCTGATGTCCGTTGTATACTGTCAATAAAACATTTGTAAAAACTGCAAATGCGTCGGCAGTAATGTGTATAATGTGCACTTCTGAATTAACAACTAAAATTAATATTTATTTCTTTCCCCAGCCCCACAAGCCTTTGACGAAACCAGAGATACCAGCGCCTTGCTTCTGCTCCTTCTTGGTGCCCTCAACCATATCCTGCAACGCTTCCGGCATCTGCACATAATTCAACGCCAGATCATAGAAAAGCGGCTTGGGGGAGACCGGCGTCATCGGAATCGGCACCGGCACCACATTGGGATTCTTGGTGAGTAGTTGCGGATCCTCACGGAATTCATCCAACCGCTCCATGAGCGGTTTCTTACTCTTGTACTGTTTCTGCGGCACTGGCGCTGCCTCCTCTTCATGTTTCTCTAGCACAACATTCGCATGAGCAACCGCGCGCTCCAAATCCGCTTTCTCAGCGACGTAGTTAATCATCTCGCCTAAAATACCATCGTATTTATTCTTCTTGATCGCGCTGACACGATCTTCACAGATATCAAACGTGGCTGTGGCTTCTTTCCAACGGCGGAACAAAGCATGCGTTTTCGCCATGTAAAAAGCACGCAGAGCTCTGTAAGCATCCAGACGTTGGCTATAAGCTGCCTGCGCCTTGGCATTATCCACCAATTGTTCAAACTGCATTAATTCAGTGTGCTGTTGGATAATAATATCCAGCAGCCTGCAGATATCCTGCGGTTTCTTCGTCTGGCGAATGAGCAGCAGATTACGCTGCACAGTGCGATCGATACGGATCGACAACAAGTAGGATAACACCAACTGCTCTTTCGGATCCTTGCGTACTTCGGAAATAATATCACGCAAGTCAATGAACATGTCTTCAATGATCTTGATCTTGGCTTGTGTAGTTTCAGCGCGGTTGATTGAATCGTCAAGATTCTCAATGGCGAGCAGAAAGATTTTTACGCGATCCATACGAATGGGCACATTGATATCAAACCACTTGATTTCATGCAGGATTGCAGCGGTTTTTTCCTTTGTCTGTGACACTAACGTGTCGAAATTCTCGAGGATACCTTGTGATCGTAATTCGAGTAGATCCACCGCTTTATCTTCGCCGATATTATACGCACAGTAGCGCAAACTAGGTGAAATCTCTTCCACGCGTTGCTTGTAACAAGCCTGCTCATCTTCAGGCAAAGCAGAAGCTAGTTTCTCATAGATTACTTGAGCCTTGGTAAGATTCTCAGTGGCTTTCGCCCATAACTGCAGCTCGAAATGCAGAGTGCCGTGCATCCACGCAACGTAAGCCTGTGCTTCTAATTTTGTTCTTGCATCACATCTATCCAGCTAAATTAGTAAAAAAATCATATAAATTAGTCATTTATAAAGAAAAGGTGTTGATTATACTCACAATACATAACTCTTCTAACAGTAGTGAGTAAACACAGGCTTTTCTAAGTTTCTGAATAAAATGAAACTTTTTCCTAGGCTCTGTGTTTGCCTCCTGTCTCAACTGCATCGCGTACGCCCAGTTGCGTTCCGCCAGCATAAGCGGCACGTGCAGAAAACGCTCATCTGCCTTTGGACTGTTAATGTGTGCTTCAGTAACATCTCTTTTCTTGTAATGTCTGCGATCACCTTGTGGAAGTTTCAGCACAGACCGCAGACGCGCAATACGCCGTGTGCAGTAGCCGCGATACCGCTGGAAGTCGCCGTGGCGAAGACCATGCTGCTGATGGCAATCCTTGATTAGTTTTAAGACTGAAAACGTATTCGGAAGAGTTAATGAAAACATCTGGAGTTTAACCCTAACACGCGTTGGTTTTGTAAATAAACGTGTGGCTTACTTTCAACAGTGAACGGTTTCACTTCGCTTTCCTGCGTTGTTTCATCCTGCTGTGGAACACTGCTGGGTTCTAGTAACACCATGATGGAGAAAAGTTTTCAGCGAAGTCGTGGTAGCTAACCAATGCATATAAACCAGTGCTCGCGGTGCCAACACTTCTGACAGCAGGAGTAAGTTGTGATGAAGTAGCGATAAAGGCGCAATTGAAAAGTGGAAATTTAGCAGTAGAAGTGGAAACGTGTAAGTATTATGAAGAATAGTTCATATTTTGGCCGCTAGTTGCTACACCTTCACTGTAGTGAACATTACCCTAGCGGAGAAAAACCGAACTAAAAAAGTACTTTAAAAAGTAACAATAAAATTAAAAAGTATTATTTAATTAGGTAAACACACAATAACTGGTCTGCAAGATAGATTGATTGTTTATAATCAAATTAAGTTTTAATTTGATGTAAGTATTTCAGTAAAAACTGTTGTCAAGGCATGATACAAACTCCCTTCCACATTCATCGCATACGCTTCGTTGCCTGCGCTTTGTGCGCCCGCCCAACCTGTAAACCGCGGCCGAAACCCCCAAACCCAAACGCTTGTCATTCTCGTCGCTAGCCAGCTGATCCGCGCATTTCTAAATGCATTTTTAATTTCTCTCGTTTTTGTTTTAATCCACACTACAATTACCAACATAGTGCAAACCTGTGAGAAACTGTGACAACCGAAATCCGACGCGAAAACTGTCTCATCACAATTCGCCGCCGTCTGCAGAGCTCGCGCAATTCTGAAGTTCAACGATGATGACTCAATGTGTTCGCCCGCTATAGACACATGAATCAACGCAAACGCACGCATACGCTTCGAAAATTCATTGTTGACTCCGTCTCGCGACCGCCAACGGACTAAAATGTATCGCAATCGCAATCAGGACGACTTCGCGATCAACAGATGCCAGGAAGACGTTCAAGAACAGTACATAAATGAAGAGGAGGAGGATGAGGAAGAAGAAGAAGAGGACGAGGATGAGACGACCAAGATTATTCCACCAGATGGTAATTACTTCATCATTTGTTTCATTTCACGACGACTTGTTGCGTTTTGTTTATTTAGCGATTATGTTTACAATTCAGTTTATGTATTCAGGACAAAATGTCACAGTTCACACAGCGATGTTTTTTTTTTGTTAACTCTTGAACAGAACGCGATTAGCTGTTAAACATTGCCCGGAATTTATCTTAGGATTCAGAGTTAATTCTCTTTGTTTGGTTACGAGTGTGATTAATCGATGAGGCAACGATACTATCGAGGTTTTATTTAATTACTCATGAATGCAACATGGATTAAATTCTTTATTTTTATGTTTTAGGGTCTTACTTTTAGCATAACTAGTTTAGTAAAGGTAAAATAATATTGATTGAGTAAAAAACTAAATAATTTGTTGACTGAAATCGAACTATAGGAAGTAATCAACTCGTTTCCTCTGTAAATCCACAATGAATATGAAACGGGAAGCAACAGAAATAGTTGAAAAAACATGTGGTTTTCATATAATATAATTCGATAAGCTCGCACGTGCTGCGCGATATTTTCGTAATTTATGTGATAATAACATTTCACAGATTTGCAGTCAGTCATTAATAATGCTTAACGAGCGTGTTTATATATGAATTCGTTAATAGAACGACGCTATTATTTGCGAAATTGACGTGTTCTGATTCATCACGCCGAGAGAGTAATTCTCCACCGTGCGAATTCCTTATTGTTATGAAAATTGTTAAGCCGCTGATAAACCGTCCTTGAGCGCGCTCGGCGCAGCTTACCCAACGGGCACACCGGGCGAATCGCGCCGACTTATCAAAAAAAAAACCAACCGTGCACAGTTGGCATGTTTTGATGCGAGTTCTGTCACTGTTTTCACCTGCACTCGGTGCGCGAATCGTGCGACGCCATCGCAATGTCCTAGACGGGGCAGTTTGCGACGCAGGGACCAGCACAAGACGAGTGATTCTTGGAAAACGGCGCGATGACGGTGACGGTGCCGGTGGCGAACGGTGTTGACCTAAAAAAGAAGCATCCGGAGACCGATAATGACGTCACGGTGTACGGCTCCTATGGTATAACGCATAATAATTACCTCGTAAAAACACGCTGATTACTTTCGGAGAGTTGTAATTGTTTTCTTTTTTCTGCGATAGTGGACGACACGAAGGATTGCTTGAAGTCTCGACACATCCTGGGTATCCTCGGCTTTCTTGGTTTTGCGAATGTGTACGCAATGCGCGTGAATTTATCGGTGGCGATTGTTGCAATGGTTAACAACACGGCGTTTCCACCGCCGAATGTCACCTCGCATGATATTTGCCCTGTTCCCAATATGACCAACAGTACAATTCCAGTAGACGTGAGTAATATTTATTTTTCTGCATTTAAAATCATTGTAATCATTATAATTACGTATAGAAAGACGGTGAGTTCGCCTGGGATGAAGCAACGCAAGGAATTGTCCTGGGTTCCTTTTTCTATGGTTATGTCCTGACGCAAGTACCCGGCGGACGTTTCGCAGAGCTTTTCGGTGGAAAAAAAGTGTTTGGTTTAGGTGTATTAATCACTGCGTTGTTTACACTGCTGAGTCCGATTGCAGCGCGGACAAATTTCCCGCTTTTTATCATCGTACGTATCCTGGAGGGTATGGGTGAAGGGGTGACTTTCCCGGCGATGCACGCTATGCTAGCGCGATGGATTCCGCCGCTGGAAAGAAGCAAATTCGCTGCTTACGTCTACGCAGGTAAACAACCACTTTATATAATATAATCCAATGAGATTACAATTGTGTAATTTATATTTAAGGTGCTAATTTTGGCACGGTGGTCTCACTACCCATCTCCGGTTATCTCTGCTCGCTGGATTTCATGGGTGGATGGCCGCTTGCGTTTTACATATTTGGCGTGCTGGGTATAATTTGGTTTGTCTTTTGGTTGCTGCTTGTGTATGATACGCCGACGATGCATCCGCGCATCTGCCGGCAGGAGCAGGCGTTTATTGTCGCCAGTATTGGTCCGCATGACGAGGACGAGGAGAACAACACTATACCATGGCTGAAGATGGCGACGTGCCTGCCGCTGTGGGCGATTTTAGTCACGCAGTGCGGGCAGTCCTGGGCGTTCTACACCCAGCTTACTGAATTACCCACGTATATGGCGAAGATATTACATTTTAATATTGAACAGGTAAATTACGTTTTTGTAGTTAATATCGACTAAATTTGTGTTGCATGGCAACAATGCACTTTTTAAATCCGCCATCTTGCGCATTGAGATTTGATGGCATAATTTATGGAAGCATTCATTCCTGCATGAAAACTTCAATTATTTAAGATCATAAATGGTTATGACATTACCGAATATTGCTTCGTAATCCACCATGCTTTTGTTTATAATGTTAACTCGCCTACGCGCACTTCCACTGTATTTTTACGCACAGTACTTGCTTATGCAACCAGTTTAACGCGTTAAATTAGTTTTTATATTTTTACAGGTTAGAAAAGATAATAATCTGAATATTTTTGTGTTTTAGTTAGCTTTATGGTCATCAGTCCCGTATTTAACAAGCTGGTGGCTTGGTATCTTGACGAGCATCTTCGCGGACTGGTTATTGAGCAAGGGATACCTATCATTATCAACATCGTATAAAATATTCAACTCAATAAGCTCAATCATTCCTTCCCTGGGTTTATTGGGCGTCGCATGGCTTGGATGTGACAGTATCGGCGTGCAGGTGATGTTAGGTCTGCCGGGTGCCTTTGCCGGCGCAGTATACGCCGGCAATCAGATGAATCACATCGCGTTGAGCCCGCGATTCGCTGGCACAATGTACGGAATCACGAACGCTGCCGCCAACATGTGTGGTTTTATCGCGCCCTATGTAATAGGTACAATTATTCAAGGCCAGGAAACTCTTGGACAATGGCGCTTGGTGTTCTACCTGGCGGCGGGCATCAACATCGGCACGAACCTCTTCTACGTGGCATTCGCAAGCGCCAGGGAGCAGCCGTGGTCGCGGTCGCGCCGTCTAAGTAACATCAATTGACATGCGCTGTACCTGACGCTCCTGGTCGACCTCTAGCCGGAGGCATCACTAGCGTAATTTCAATCGGCCCGCACACAAGGTAAAGTGTGTCCGCTGTATATAAACAAATGTTATTGCAACACATAGTATATTTACACGAAGTGAACCAAGCGCACGGCGCTGCGGGGTGGACGAGATGGAAAAGATATTTATATATATACATATAGATATATTCATATATATTTTGCTTCGAACTGTGATGAACGAATTTCGATACAAGTATTTATAAGATGCCGTTGACGAGGTGCTTGACCACAAAACATAGTTTAATTATTTTCTAAGTTGGATATATTGATACGAAGCGCCGGCGGTGGTGTCGGTCGGTATGATCAATAAAATTATCATTGTGTTTAATTACAATTGATTGTCATTGGAACTTTTATCATCATGCATGTAATACTTGCACATCATTATGCATAACCTGCTTTTCTGAGCTGTGGCAACAATATTCATGCATGTAACATTTTCTATTTATGGAAAATGAGATTGTAGACATAAAAAATAATTCACATGTGCTAATAATTAGATTTATTTAGTAATATGCTTGATACTTAAATTATACACAGCTCAGTGTTTGCTCTTCTTGTGTTTGAGGCCTTTGCTGCTTTTATTCAGTATTTTCTGCTTCTCTTTCTTGAGTCTTAAACTTTTTTTCTTCTGTTTTTGTTTCTCCATCTTGTTTTTCATCTGAAATACTTTACTCTTCTTCACATTTTTAGTAGCTTGCTTCTTTAATGTTCTCTTTATATCCTTCTCAGTGTTGAAGACCTTTTTAACTTCTTCTTTGGGCTCTGCCTTGACTTTCTTTGCTTTTAATTCCATGCCTGGCATTTCTTCTGCTTGCTCTTCATTATCATCATCATCTTCTTCCTCCTCAGAGCTTGGTTCATAATTGGGTTGATTTGAACCAATCCAATGATTTTGTTGAGCTATTTCATTTGTGGATAACTCCACAACCTTGACAGTCACATCCTCATCTTCATATTTATCCTCAAGGAGGTCTTCTAGTTCAGGAATAGGTCGATGAGATACGACAAGTTTCTTGTAGGATTCTTTCGCTTCGGCTTTGAGACGTTTGCGTTCGTCTTTGAGCTCTTGTTCGAACTTTTCCTTGGCTTCTTTCTTTCTTTGAAGTTTCCTCTTGTGGAAACCTGTTAAGAACTCTCTGGAAAGTAGATAATTTAATTTTTAACATGTACAGAAGCTGTATGTGGAGTATATTTACTTTCTTTTTGCCTCATCAAACACTAAATGGATCTTATTTGCGCGTTTCTTCGACTTCTTGATTGTCTTTTGTGCACACATCTTGGATAAACTTTGTAAATGCGTGTTTTTTGAGGTTATGTACAAGGTTTTGAATTCAGTGCTAAAATGAAACCTGTAATACCAACTACGGATTTCTAGGGAAATTGAAAATGAAATTAAATGAATTGCAAAACAAATGTTTATTAAATTAAATATTGTTTTTATTAAAATTATCAGAAATCTAACAGGATTTGGTGGAGTAAATGCTTTTGTTTCTTTTTTCTTTATAATTCAAAGATGAAAATTTGTCCACGTTTTGCGTAGTACAATATTGTTTCAGCGTTTTCTTATCAATGTAGTATATGTTTTGGTTGAGTTTTATCGCAAAACTGAACAAAATTGCCCGTTGACGACACAACCGTTCGTTAATTAGCCGTTATCAGTGCGGGCGCGGCGATTAGAATTATTTTAGAAATCCAGCGGCGTTCGGCACGCATGCGTCCGACGCAACCATTTGGACCAATCAGCTGCGCATTGCCGCATAAAGTCGAGCTCATCAGCAGTATGGCTGTCAGTATAAATTTGATCCTTGTATGATGGACTTCCCTTCCGTGCTCTTGTGTTTACATAAAAAACGATATTATCGCGGCGCTCGCAGAAAATGGCCGTGCCCGCGAGCGACGCACTCTAGGATGAGTTTCGACGTGCCATAGATTGCCGCCGCGTGAACACGTAAGTGCTGAAAATCGTTCGGAAAGCTCCTGAGGGCCGTCCGCCGCGGCACGCAGCGCAGCAGCGCACCGCTGTGTCGAGGCCATGAAAACGAAAGGCGATTAGAAATTCTCCAGCAGCGCGGCTGGCGTAGCGCGCGCTTGCGTGTGCAGCTGCTTTCTGGAATCGCGACGATATCGGCCACGGCCCGACTGCCCCGTCGCACTATCGTCGTAATTCCAGAAAGTGAAATGAATTCGCGCAATTGCTCGTTTTCGATTTCCGCTCGGGCGAGATCATAACTTAATAAGCGGCATGTGATATTTATAGCACCGCCAGCGCATCACAGGCTTTTTTTTTTAAACTTTATTTCTTTATTTGCCATATGCTGTATACGTATTGACAATGTAATGAAATTAATCGAGCGCACACAAATTACTCCAGTTTGCATTCCAATTTAAGCACACAGCGCAACATTGACACCCAATCAATCAATTGACAATCGTCGATTGATAGAAATCGTAACGCGCACACACATTGTGCGCGATGCGAACAATTTCCACATTTAATTTTCTTCGGAATTGTTGACGTTGCGTCCGTGTGGGGCTGGTACGGCGCTATGCGAGCCGAGACAACAACGCAAACACATAACATAACCGCACGCTAATGATTCAACGTCGGCGCGTTCGCGTCGAGCAGCGCGTTTTTATCGCCGGCAACGCGCCCGCATGGGTGGCAGAAGCACGCGCGCGAATCCACCACGCACCCGGCGTCCGCTGTATCTGTAACACCGGATGTCGATATGAATTAAAATAATTCCTTTCTTGCATCTAGAGGGCGATTCACAAGTGCGGCTATTTTGTTTTGCAGTTTGTTTATCGAACGGAACGTTGCATTAGAAACACGACGACATCGGCGAGGATAGCACGTGAAAGCATTCAGCGAGATGACGTCCAGTAGGTGAGTGCAATACTTAATATGTATTCAAATTTGGTGCGTTGTTTACGTATATTCTTCGCGGCACGCAGAGATGCAGTCTCTGGGGAGCGTTGTCAAAACACATACGTGTTGTTTATCGATTTCCCATTCGCTTGAGCGCGCCGCATGAAAACATGACACGAAAACTTTACTCTAAATTTATTCATATTCAGTCACACGCCATTACGAATTGACGCTGTAATCAGTATTATTGTAATGCCTGGATTGGATGATAATTCTTATTTTACGCTCCAGACTAGATCGACTTTTTGTCCTGTTGGAAACCGGCAGTTCGTCGGTGACGCGTTCCGCCGCCGCGAAACAGCTCGGCGAGGTGCAACGCCTGCACCCGCACGAATTGTCGACGCTGCTGACACGCACGTCCACTTATTTGCGCTCGCCGAGCTGGGACACGCGATTGGCAGCTGCGGAGGCAGTGCGTGCCATCGTGTCGAATGTGCCGCAGTGGAATCCGCCGCCGGTGGACGTCAAAGTCGAGGAGGAATGCGGCGGCATGCAATCGTTGTCGAGCGTCGGCCGACTGCGTTTCGACCAGTTTGACATCAACAAGGTGCTTAGTAATAGTACGCACCTGATGGGCAGCGAAGGAAAGGAGTATGACATTGAAGAGGACTCATCGCTTGGTATCGACGTGAAAGAAAAACTTGCCAAACAGCGGCAGATGCTGAACGCGCGGTTAGGTCTGGACATCGCCGCCAATTGCGGGGTGGATGTCACAGGCCTCTTCACCAATGAAGATCTCATGGATGACACATCTGCAGGGGTTGCAGGAAATCTTAAAATGGAGGTCGTTGATGATAGGGTTAGTATTTAAACACAAGTTTATTAATTTTTTAATAATTTTGTTTTTGTGGTAGAAACCTTTGAGAGACTTGATGTCTTCGGAACGAGAGCACGGTCTGAGTTCCAGAGAAATGAATCGAGCTAGAAGAAAGGCGCGTCAGGCTATTAACAAGCAACGATCACGAGAACCAGGGGATGAAACAACCGCAGACGAACCTGATAAGAAAAAAGTAAAAACCGAAGAACCGAACGTTAAAGAAGAACCTTATAGTATTGGTAAGTTTTTTAATTAAATTAATAAATTTATTTTATAAAACTGTAAAATTTGTAGAAGAACCAGGCGATTGCGGTGACTGGTCGCTAGAGTGGTTCTGTGATCAACTAAGTCAAGACTTATTCAGTTCGAACTGGGAGTACCGACACGGAGCAGCGACCGCTCTGCGTGAAGTAATCTCTGTTCACGGTAAAGGCGCAGGCAAATCAATCTACCACACCCGCACACAGATGCAAGAACAACATCAGATCTGGCTGGAGGATGTTGCCATACGACTACTCTGCGTTCTCGCGCTGGATCGTTTCGGTGACTTTGTCTCCGACGCTGTGGTCGCACCCGTAAGAGAAACCTGCGCGCAGACATTGTGCGCAGTATTAAAATTAATGAATGCGCATGGATGCCGATGCACACTGGACGTCCTCTTGAAGTTGTTGAACCAGAACGAGTGGGAGGGTCGACACGGTGGCCTGCTGGGCATCAAGTATTTATTAGCTGTGCGGCAGGATATGATTGAGACACTGCTGCAGGATTCACTCTCGGCGATTGTTAAGGGTTTGTCTGATTCAGCGGATGATGTTGGGGCGGTTGCTGCATCAGCGCTGATTCCAGTCGCGCAGAAACTTTTGGATTTGTTTCCGAAATCCATTCCGGAAATAGTCACGAAATTGTGGGATCTTTTGTGTGAGCAGGATGAACTCGCGGGCGCTTGTAATAGTTTTATGGGTTTGTTAGCGGCTATTTTGAGTTTGCCTAAGGTACATGATCATCTACCACCGCAGCCTTTGAGTGATGTGGTACCGCGATTGTGGCCGTTTCTCAGCCATAGTGCCTCCAGCGTGCGGAAAGCAACTCTGCAGACATTGGGGACATTAACAGAAGGTAATTCAATGCAGTGGGAAGCACAATTGTTACAAGAGGCACTCCGGCATGTTTTCCAACGTGTTCTCGTTGAACATCTGACTGAAGTTCGGCAGGTAGCCGAAGGAGTTTGGTACCTGCTATTGAAAAACGCTGGTTTGATCGAACTGCTGCATGCTGCCTGTCCGTTAACTCGAATTTGGATGTGTCTATCCATGCAGCCTGTTCGTTTACCTTTCGATCCAAATGTACTCATTCAGGTAAAACCCCGTGAACGGCGTCGTAATGATGGCCTCAATTTTGATACGCCGCTGATTGTGCCGAAGTATTACATCGGCGGGTCCGAGACTACACCTGTCGCGACGCGTGAATCCAACGCCGTGCAGGTGCGCTGTATGACAGCGCGAATGCTCGGCGAGCTCTCCTGCTTTCTGGTGCAGTCTGCACCTGGCATAGACTACAGCAAAGTGGAAAAACCGATTCACTGCTATATGAATGTGCTTTTATGTCATCTAAGGTCTAAATCGGCGCTGCAGCGCACAATGGTCGGTTTGATCATCGCTGAGTGGGCCATGCGTGATGCTAACTTCGAAATGTGTCCTGCGCCTTTATCACAGAAACTACACGCGTGTCTTAACGACATGCTGTACTACGACGAGATTGCGCATAGTTTCACGCGGTTGGCTCAAGAAACACGCGATTTCGTCGCCACGTTAAAACACTACAAAGTACCAATCCAACAGGATTACAGCATACTAACTCTTGACAGTATAAAATCCATCACAGGTCCTGAAACTGAGGTGCTACTCGCCGGATTTAAACTAAAGATCAAAGTGTTGGAGAGTTTGGAAGAGCGTCGAAAGAGTATTCAAACCTGCGTGGTTCAAACAAGCAATGAACAGAATCAACTGACAATCTCGACGTTGGCGGCCATTGCGGGCGCGACTGTCTGCTGTAAATCACTGCCAGAGAAACTCACGCCGGTGGTGAAGCCGCTGATGGAGTCCATTCGGCGCGAGACCAACGAAGAACTCCAGAAAGTCACTGCGAAGCAACTCGCGAAGCTTGTCGAACAATGCGTCGGGCGTAATCCGTGCCCAAACGATAAGATTCTCTCAAATCTATGCATGTTTCTGAAATGCGATTCAGAATTTACGCCTGTGATTAAGAAGACTGACGAGTTAAACGCGACTGGTGAACATTCATGGGTAAGCCTAATGAGGTCACATTAATGATTCATGCTAATGCGTATTATGATTATTTCTAGTTCAAACCAGCGGATAACTATCAGGGAATTGTAACATTAGACAATCAACAACGCCATGCTGAAAAAGCAGCATTTAAACGATCCAACTCGACCGGCCGGGGGCCCGGACGGCCTCCAAATTCCGACATCCCTTTGGAGGATCTATTCAAAGATGAAGACGATGTTCATCTAGCGAATCGAATTCAACGTAGAGGCGCCACACTCGCGCTGATTGAAATCACGAAACATTTTAAGAGCGAAATCGACGTCAAAGTGCCAAAACTCTGGCATCTCATGGTGAAGCAAATCGAACAATGCGTGGATCCAACTAATTTCGACCCGAAGTTGTTATTTGATAAGCCTGATGAGGCAGAACACCTAGTATGCATCCTACAGGTCTTGGAAGTTACCTATCCGAGCATAGATGCATCTCTCAGACCGAAAATCATGGATATTTGTCTGGAACGCCTGTGTTTACTCTTGACACATCCGTATCGTGCTGTACGCCACTTGGCATCACGTTGCCTCGCTGTATTCTCCAAAATCGACTCTGTTACGGTGATGGAGCATGTAATCGACAAGGTTCTGCCTCCTCTAGGCGCGACTGATAACGATATCGATCGACAAGGCGCAGTGGAAGCAATCGCATGCATGGTGGACACGTTACAGTTTGATATCATCCCGTATGTTGTTTTATTGGTGGTGCCATTACTAGGGAGGATGTCTGATCAGAATCAGAGCGTGCGTCTTATGGGCACTCATAGTTTTGCAACACTTGTACAACTCATGCCACTTGATGGTGGCGTGCCGGAACCGCCTAACCTGAAAACCAGTACACTCAACGTTCATCGAGAACGTGAACGTGAATTTCTTCAGCAGTTGCTGGCGCCGTCGAGTATTCCAGATTACAAAGTCCTGGTGCCTATTGATGCAGAGTTGCGGTCTTACCAGCAAGCAGGTGTTAACTGGCTTGCGTTTCTTAATAAGTACAAACTGCATGGTATTCTTTGTGATGACATGGGTTTAGGTAAAACACTGCAGAGCATCTGTATACTCGCCAGTGATCATCATCAACGCATGGTTAAATACGAAGAGAGTCAATCGGCTGACTCCGCACCGCTGCCTTCATTAGTAGTGTGTCCACCTACACTTACAGGTCATTGGGTGTATGAGGTAGAGAAGTTCCTCCCTGAGAAGAATCTTAAACCCGTGCAATATCACGGTTCACCGCAGGAAAGAGAAAAAATCAGGCAGAAATTGCGCAAGTTTAATTTGGTTGTCGCGTCGTATGATATCATCCGCAAGGACTTGACCTTCTTCACCAGTTTAAAATGGAATTATATCATTCTAGATGAGGGACATGTTATTAAAAATGGTAAAACACGGACGAGTGTTGCGGTGAAGAAGCTCATTGCGAACCATCGTCTTATTTTGAGCGGCACACCGATACAAAATAACGTGTTAGAGATTTGGAGTTTGTTCGATTTTTTAATGCCAGGGTTTTTGGGCACGGAGAAACAGTTTACGGCGAGGTATTCAAAGCCGATTCTGGCAAGTCGTGATCCGAAATGCTCGCAGAAGGAGCAGGAAGCTGGTGCGTTAGCCATGGAAGCCTTACACCGACAGGTACTGCCATTTTTACTCAGGCGTATGAAAGAGGACGTCTTGGATGATTTACCGCCGAAGATCACGCAGGACTACTACTGCGATTTGAGTCCCGTGCAGGCTCAACTTTATGAAGACTTTTCGAAGAGTCATGCACATCAAACGCTTCAGGTATATATTATTTTATTGTGTAAAACATGATTATTTATTTATTTATGTGTTTTTATAGCAATCATTGTCGAATGGCGCGACAGCCAGTTCGATGCAGGGCAACACACACATCTTCCAAGCCTTGCGGTACTTGCAGAATGTCTGTAATCATCCGAAACTAGTCCTCAACAACTCGCATCCTCAGTTCAAGAAGATCACAACGCAATTGGAAGAACAACAATCAACGCTGGAGAGCATTTATCACTCGGCTAAACTCCCAGCGCTGAAGTAAGTGGAATAAATACCGTAATCATTCAATAATAATAATAATACGCAATAATTGTGTGTTTTTGCAGACAATTGCTCCTGGACTGCGGTATTGGCGGAAGCGAGACTCAATCAACCGAGATTGTGATCAATCAACACCGTGCACTGGTGTTCTGCCAACTCAAAGCAATGCTGGATATAATTGAATTCGATTTGTTCAAGAAGATAATGCCGGAAGTGACATACCTTCGCCTGGATGGGTCTATTCCACCCGGCCAACGACATTCGGTTGTGACGCGGTTCAATAATGATCCGTCGATTGATGTTTTGCTACTGACGACGCAAGTCGGCGGCCTTGGTCTCAATCTGACCGGGGCTGATACTGTGATTTTTGTTGAACACGACTGGAACCCAATGAAGGATCTGCAGGCAATGGACAGGGCGCATCGTATCGGTCAAAGGAAGGTCGTCAATGTCTACAGGTTGATAACGCGTGGCACTTTAGAGGAGAAAATCATGGGGTTTGTTTTATTGTTTGTAAATTTTGTTTCATTTTTTTATTTATATGCGGTTTTATTCCACTTTTGTGTTCAGTTTACAAAAGTTCAAAGTCCAGACAGCCAACACTGTGATCAGCGGAGAGAACAGCCGCATGGAGACAATGGGCACCGACCAACTGCTCGATCTCTTCTCGCACAAACCAGGCGGATCGGGCGCGTCTGCCACCGCCGGCAACGTCCACCCCCGCGGCGGCGTGCGTGCCATTCTCGAGGAGCTGCCCGAGCTGTGGGATGACAAGCAATACGAGGACGAGTACGACCTCACGCAGTTTATCTCCAAGCTGCAAGGCTGATTCGAGTAATATGTTTTCGTTTATTTATTTTTTCGTGTCATTCGCGCCGCGCGTAACTTCGTAACCCACTGACCTACTCGAAAGGGAGAGTCAGGGGATGGCCGCGTGGCTTGCCGCCACCACCCTTGACCCAAATCGCGCGTCGCGCACGTTTTCCCGGCGACCCAGTTCGCGTGGCCTTGTCCCGCATTGTTTGCTTCCGAGTTTTCAAGGCCGTGCCTTCAACTCGCAATCGTTTAACTGCCGAAAACAGAAAAAAAATGCACCGCCCTAGCCAGTGCGATAGGCAATCAGAGCTGCACTATCAGCGGATCTGAGCGAGAAATGTTTCTATAAACACGCACAAATTGATCAAGTCATTATTATCATTGTTCGTTTATTTATTTATCATTCTTAGTATTCATTTTCTGTTTGTTCTTGATTCTCATCAGCATCTCAGTAATTGTGTTAATAATTTAAGATGATGCCAAGAAATGAAAACCAAAGTGACACAATATTGTAACCGAAAGCAATAATAACTTTCAAGAATCATCTATTACAATAGATATTACATGATTGCACAAAGCCTCTGCGGAGGCTTTTAGTTAAGCTCAAAACGTGTGTATGAATCATACATTTATGACATGCGAACTTGTTCAATACAATAATAATATTATCAACCACTTCGTGTCACATATTTGCGGCATAAACTTCTCTCCATCGGAATTCCTAAAAGTTGATGAACACGGCAAATCTTACGATATGTTGCTCTACGTTATATTCAATTACATATATCTACAAGTTTCCTACGGTATCGTTTACAATTTTCTTTTTTTTTTGTATAATATAATATAATATGCGTTAAATATTTCAGTCAAAGAATTAACAGTTCATTAGTTTCAATATGTATTCGGCGCGATAACATTTATCATTTGATGCTCAACAATTTAACATTTTTAATTTCTTTTTGGTTTGTACAATAAAATTTCCACTACACACGCTTGAAAATCGATTGATAAATGTGTATCCGCCCGGTATATATGAGGCCCAGTAAACATCGAGGAGAACTTCGTTAAATGTTTCAAACCTTATGCCTAGACAACAAACGCTGGATCGCAGGTAAATATTTTGGCACGGATTATGTTCTCTTCTCGCTTCCAACCCACCACCATCAGCATCACCGCAGCATTACCCTAGTAAATATGTAAACTCTGCGCTAGAGTACAATTTTCAATTCAACATCGAGCGTTTAATTATTGTTTGTTTGATTACTTGTGAGTAGATACATAGTTTGATTACGTTCGTTTTGTAAGCGTCATTATTGTTGAACAGCATTTTTTTTTTATATCATCGAATAATCAGAACTTCCTATCCGTCTACAACTCTTGTTTTCGCTACGTAACTACTTGTTTCATCACAATGTTATTGACAAGCTTTTTGTTATCCTTTATCTGACGTGCAAGTCGATTCGAGGATGTGTGAATAACTGTCTGAATCAATCGAAAAGAAAAACGCACAAGCCTAAATCCATACAGGGTCACTAGGTGTCATCAATTTGGTGCTAGAGGGTTGTATTTGATTTTAGTTATCACCGACTATCCTGTATTGCTGCGTCCATCAATTGATTGAGTTCTGGTGATGACGCGAATACCTGGCAGTCGGGGATGAAATAAAATATGCAACATGCACTTTACGTGCACGTCAATAATCTACGTTCCTGCGGGTAGTTTGTCATCAAATAAAAAAGTCATGCATGTTTTATATTGACGACAAACCATAAATAATATGAACGCGGGAATATTTTAGTGAATGTCGTGTTTTTGGGTGAAAATTGAGTGGAATTTCATGCATGACGTCCTGCTTACTGATACAGTTACGCTGCTTACCCTGAATGTATATAATTCTTATTGATCTGTGTAAAAATAAGCCCTTATAGCAAACCCTGTACTTTGTTGAAATAATTTTACATCACTTACGGTAGTTTTACGTTTAGTTTTTGTGTTATATATATGTAAGTACGTAGTTGTAGTCGCGCTTATCATATAAGTTTCTACCAATGGGTTCTCTTCATTGTCTTAGAAGTAATTCTTAACACTAGTGCTTACCTGTAATACGCTTATATTAATTAGGACTTAAGTTTAATGTAGCGATTGAAGTCGGGCGGTGTGTGCGCGGTCTTATCGTGGCATACGATGTGCACCAGTTTCAAGTTGTGGTCGGTGAAGAGGTCTTCGAAGATGCGCTCGCAGTCCAGGCGCGCGTCCGCGTCGAGGGCGTGCGCGATTGCCGGGATGATGCATCGCGAGCGCTCTATCCGATGGTCCAGATTCCACGTCTGGAAGACGATGCGCTCCTCGTAGCTGCGATAGGGGTTGATGACGTGCGCTAGGCGATAGCGGCAGGCGGGCGCGTCCCAGCGACCTTGGCATTGAAAGTCGCCGTGCGGCGTACACATGGCGGCTGCGTCGCGCCGATCGAAGTACGCGCCGAAGTAGCGCGCGTCCTTGAGCGCCGCGCTCAGCGTCGCGCAGAGTTCATGGACGCGCTCCGCGGGCAGGTCGCGATTCTTGAGCAAGTCGTCTTTGGTCGCGTAGAAGTACTTCTTTATTCGGTCTTGGGATCGCCTAAACATATATTCCTCTTTGGTTTTTGCACGGCTCTCTACACCTAGCGGGCCGGGTGGGTGGTGGTTTTGAAACGTGTGAGAAAGTTGTACATTTAAGGGGTGGGTCACGCTCACCTTGAAACCAGTCGGGGTCGCCTTCCTTGGTGCTTGCCTTCGCCTTGTCGTCGTCCATTTCTTTGAGCACTTTGGCGAGACTGTAGACATTGCTCTTCATCTGCTCGGTGAAGAATTCAGCGACCTTCTCGCCGGTGGTGAGAAAGTCGAAGTTGACCTCGCGGATGGTGCGGTAGAGGATCTCGGCGTCGGTTTCAGCGCGTTCGCCTTTACGCACCCAGATGAGCAGTGTCTGCGCTGGTAAACCTAGGAATTCATCTTCGGCGCGTATGGGGATGCCGTCGCGCGTTTGAAAAAAGATGTCTTCACCTTCAGGCAGTTTGAATTTGATGATGGTTTTCTTCTTGAGATCAGCAAGATGCTCGACGGCGATGCCGACGCGCACCTTGCGCTCCGCATCGGTGACTTTAAAACCCTTGCGCTGCCCCATCCCCCCTCCCATCTGCGAACACACCGCCAGTATATGAAACATCCCTAAGGCATTCTCGCTCCCTCATCTGTAACAAACAAGCGCCTGGAGTAATGAAGAGAAACACTTACTCAAACAAATGGGAGGATTGCAGTAGTCGACTGTTGCTCCGCCGACGCGCCGACGACGACTGACTGGCGGGCAGCCGCCGCCGAGTGAGCAAACGCGCGGGGGCAGGCAGACGCGACGCGCGGCGATAAGGAAATTCAGCCGGTCGCATGCATGCATGCGCAAAGTGGGTCAATGTCGCATTGTGGGGCTGCGGCCTACTTTCGGCCGCCTCCCGACTTTAGAATCTCGCACCTGCAATCGGAGCTCGCCGCCGCCGGCCGTCTAAATTATTCACTGTCGCTCGCGCAATTTATGCAGCTTTTGCAAGAAGATATTACACTTTCCTACTCACCAGTCAGTCATCAAGTCGACGCATTTATTTGCCGCAGAAATGGAAGCGCATATCTAGTAGACAAGTGCACTTACTTGCGCTTTATGCTTTGCTGGCACACAAAGACTGTCACGGTAGGTCAGAGTGATTCATAAAAGTTTCAGTCACCATTGATACTGCTATGCATTTTATAACGGTCGATTCGATCGTGTTGCAAAGCAGAAACATTTGTCTCCTTACTTTATTTATCAAGAGTTGCGAGGGGAGTTGAATATATTTCCTGCAATATTTGTTTAATTGATATGGAACTAAAGTAAATATTAAAAATAGTTACCTGATAACACTGCGTATAAAAAAGAGCGCATTTGGCTACATTTTGCCTACCCTTACATAAAAAACAGCTGATTTAGCTTTGTTTAGCTCGAAAGCTCAAACATTTTGAAGCTAAGAAGATTGAAGGTAGGCAACACACATTTTAGTTTACTTTCGGTTGGCTACTCACCTAGCTATTAATTTTAAAACATTTAGTTGTGTAATACTCTTTTTCTACGCAGTTATCTGCATAATCTTTTATATGTCCGCATAAAAACATGTAAACTAATAAAGATATTCTGTAATTTTTCCATAGATATAACTTATTCGCGCTGTGCAACTGATCGTAACTAAAAATTCAAACCAAAACGGTATAATGCGCAGCTGTCGTGCACATATTCAAGTTCCTATATTTCGCTGCGCGTTCCTGCTGAAGGTCAAACAAGTTGGCCTGCGGTAGTGCGCGCGCTACCACCTTCCAGCTGTGATGTTGTTGTCGCGGCTACGGTTGGCATGCGATGCGATGTTGTTGCGATCCGGGCAGCCGTTGCAACGAATTTTATTTTCGCATATTGTCAGTGGCGAGTGTCATTTACTGAAATCACGCCAGGCCCTATACACCGTGAGCAAGTGCTTCAATCACATTCGAAAGTAAGCGAGATTTAAAACCTTCTGCTTGTTCCATTTACGTTCATAACTCTCAGCGTTCGTTTCGCAGTCATAGAAAATTGCTGGTACCTCAGGCGACTGCAGAGATGTCTTCCACTGCGGGAAAACCATTATACACGAATCGACTCGCCAAGGAGCGGTCGCCTTACCTCCTACAACATGCGCATAACCCGGTCGACTGGTATCCGTGGGGTCCTGAAGCCTTCGAGAGAGCTGTTGCAGAAAATAAGCCCATATTTTTATCAATTGGATATTCAGCTTGTCACTGGTAAGTGCAACAATCAACAGCATTGTTATTTATTAATTGTAATTTAATTTGCATAGGTGTCATGTAATGGAAAGGGAATCTTTCGAAAGCATACAAATTGCGGAGATATTGAAAAAGTCCTACATTGCAATCAAGTTGGATAGAGAGGAGAGGCCTGATATTGATCAAATCTACATGACTTATGTGCAGAAAACAACAGGAAGTGGAGGCTGGCCACTGACATTGTTTCTCACGCCAACATTGGAGCCGCTTTATGGTGGAACTTATTTTCCTCCTCAGGATGGCAATGGAAGGGTTGGATTAAAGGGTCTGCTGGATTTGGTTGCCAGACAATGGCAAGTTGAACACGTTAAACTTACAAAAGAAGGTTTGTATTGCCACTTTTTATAGTTAAACTATTTAAAATTAATATTTTTAATATGTTTTAGCTAAAAATTCTTTAAAATTACTTCAATCTCAACTCACCACTAGTCTGAGTGCTAAAAATAAAAATGTACCTGGTGAAATCTGTTGGAAAAAATGCTATGACACAATGGTGAAATTATTTGTTCCTACTTATGGAGGATTCTCCACATCGCCCAAGTTTCCACAGACGTCACTTCTTAACTTCTTGCTGCATGTGTACTATCAGCGTCCCAATGAAGCCGAAGGTAAGAAAGCCCTGGAAATGGTGTTGATTACCCTCCGCAAAATCGGCTGCGGAGGAATTCACGACCATGTAGGCTCTGGTTTTGCGCGTTACTCTGTTGACGGACAATGGCACGTCCCGCACTTCGAAAAAATGTTATACGATCAGGCGCAACTTGCAATGACATACACCGACGCATATGTTGCGTCCAAAGATCCTTTCTTCATGGACATGGCTGAAGATATCCTCAAGTATGTATCGCGTGACTTGACACATAAACAGGGAGCATTCTACGGCGCAGAAGATGCTGATTCGTATCCGACAGCGGATGCAACTGAAAAGAAAGAAGGCGCGTTCTACGTGTGGACCATGGACGAGCTGAAGGAGATTCTTCGAGATGAGAAGGTATTAGAGGTGTTTTGTTACCACTTCGGCGTGAAAGAGGAAGGAAACGTGGATGCTAGCCTGGATCCACATCATGAGCTGCGCGGTCAGAATGTTTTATGTAATTTTGAACCTGCAAGCGTTACTGCTGAGAAGTTTAATTGTTCAGAAGATGTGGTTAAGACTTTGGTGCGTACATGCCTGGATTTGCTACTTGTGGAACGCGGAAAACGTCCAAGACCTGCAGCTGATACGAAAATTGTCACCGCGTGGAATGGGTTAATGATTGCAGCGTTTGCTAAGGCTGGATTTGCTTTCAACAACGTGACGCATATTAAACGTGCGGTTAAAGCCGCGAGTTTTGTCAAAGAGAGATTAACATCTGCTGATGGCAGTTTATATCGGTGTTGTTATGGGGATCGTGATAGTGTTAAACAAAAGTAAGTACAAAGCATCAAAAGTTTTAAACATGTCAGTATAAATTAAATTGATTTTAATATTTGTAGTGCTCAACCTATTCCTGGTATTCTGGAGGATTATGCGTTCACAATTCGTGGTATGATTTATTTGTATGAAGCTACATTGGATGGATCATGGTTGGAGTGGGCTGAGCAATTGCAAACTTTGCAAAATCAAAAGTTTTGGGATGGTGAGCATGGCTCGTTTTTCCAAAGTCATGGTGATGATGAATTTGCCATCGTGCGGGATAAAGAATGTATAAAATTAAACTACTAATACTCATGCTTAGAAAATATTTATTTTTATATATTTTTTTAGCTCAAGATGGTGCTGAACCATGTGGTAATTCCGTATCAGCACACAATTTAATTCGGCTGGATCATTACCTCAACCGGGAAGATTTCCGTAGTAAAGCTTCAAAAATATTCAAAGGATTTTCTAGTATGCTTAATGAACATCCCATTGCTTTGCCTGAAATGACTTCAGCGCTAATGCTGTTTTACAACCAGCCTTACCAAGTATATATTTAGAAATAGGTAGAAAACAGAAACATAATTTATTAAGGTTATGTTTTTGTGCAGATATTTATTGCTGGTAAACGCCGAGCGCCTGACACCGAAGCTCTGCTGGAAGTAGTGCGCAATCAGTTTCTACCTGGTCATGTATTGGTTCTTGCCGATGGACCCAACGGCAAGAGTATGTTGCTTTACATGCGTAATCAAACTCTGGAATGCCTCCATCCTGTTGGTGGACGTGCTGCTGCTTATGTTTGCAAGGAATTCGCTTGTAGCATGCCGGTAACAACTCCGGAGGATTTGCAGAAATCTTTAAGCGGTGAACTTCAGGCCACGCGAGCCCAGTCTGCTGACTGTAGTTCCGAGTCAGATTGAGCATCTTGCTCTGTTTTAATTTGTTATTTCGGTTTTTACTAACACAAATTCTATTGTAGTATTTTTGTACTGCAAATTTTGATTATTGATTTTATTTGTTGTACAGGCAAAGATAGCCACAATACTCAAATTTTTGTTATGCATTGATGCAATTGAACTATTTGATTGATACACGAAGTGTTTCACAAATAAACTATTAACGAATAGTTAAATAGGAAAATTTATTTTTTAAACTTGTGTAGTATACATCTGTGCATATTGCGCATGCGCGTGCTGACGCTGACGCCCTCTGCGTAGCAGTCTCGAAGTAATAAAACCACGGCGCGTCAAGCTTGTGCCTCTTTCATCACGTGAACCTGCATGTAAGTACATCTTGGTTAATAATTTCAAGTTTTTGCTCCAAATCTAAACGTTTTTACACAAAATATTTATCGCGAACTGTTTATCACTTCACTGTAGATGTTCTTTATTAATTTGTTTTGCGTGATGGTCAGTACTTTTCGAAATATTTCAAGATTTGCCTTGAACATTGGGCAAGGAGTTACGGTATTCCATCCGAAATATCCTAATCATTCAAGGCTAGATCAATTCCGTGCGTTAATCCCAGATTGCAATATTGTTGCATTACTGATTCATAGCACGGATACAATATTTTACTCTCTACCCAACTTGTATTTCTTGTGTTGTGCGTTTTGTCTCATGGCACGTTTTTGTTCACAGATAAGCGGCCTTCAAAATGGTGAACGGTCGTATCCCAACCGTTTGCTCCAAGACGTACGTAACTCCACGTCGCCCCTATGAAAAGGCGCGTTTGGACCAGGAATTGAAGATCATCGGCGAGTATGGTCTGAGGAACAAACGCGAAGTATGGCGCGTCAAGTACACGCTCGCAAAAATCCGTAAAGCCGCTCGTGAGTTGCTCACTTTGGATGAAAAGGAACCTAAGAGGTTATTCGAAGGTATGTTTTTACATATTTCTGCTTTTTTGTGTTACAATCGGCATATCTGCTCACAGGTAATGCACTTCTGCGTCGTCTGGTCCGCATTGGTGTGTTGGATGAAGGCAGAATGAAGCTCGATTACGTTCTCGGTCTGAAAATCGAAGATTTCTTGGAGCGTCGCCTTCAAACACAAGTATTCAAACTTGGATTAGCGAAGTCTATCCATCACGCCCGTGTCCTCATCCGCCAGCGTCACATCCGGTAATTAATACAATACATGCAATAAATTGCATTGGTTGACTTGAATTTCTCATGAGTGCCACTTGGGCGACTAGTCGCTTTCAATGCCTCGAAATATTTCTATAAGGAGATTCGCTTGGGCATATCACAAATGCTTTTAAGCAGCTCCTGTAGCGAGGTAAATTATAAATATGAATTTGCGTGTGAAGTAGTCCGAGCCTAGAGTTGCTAGATTGGTTTATATCATACTTATACTAGTGCTAAATGGTCTCGAAGAGCAATGATACCAGCTTTATGCCCCAGTTACGTTGCATTTCGTATATGTATTTGGGTACCTGTGAGGCGACATTATTATTATTTAACTATGTATTTATTTCGTGATTTTTGTAAGATGTTATAGGAAATGTTGTCATGGTGCATATGTTTGTTGCAGTGTCCGCAAACAAGTTGTGAATATTCCCTCGTTCATCGTACGCTTGGACTCGCAGAAGCACATCGATTTCTCGTTGAAGTCGCCCTTCGGTGGTGGCAGGCCAGGCCGTGTTAAGAGGAAGAACACTCGCAAGGCTGCGTCCGGTGGTGCCGCTGCTGCTGAGGAAGATGAAGATTAAGCAGTGATTGTTAATCAACTCATAATTGAGTTATAATTGAATGAATAAATCATGCCTGCTTTCTAAATTAAAAGTATTTTAATATATAGTGTGAGTCATCTAGTCATCTGTACTTGTTTTTGTTTTGCTGCCTTTAATTTTTTACGTTGTGCATTACAACATGTAAGTTTGACATTAATATGTTACGAATGCAAAGAAAGCTGAAAGAAAATTCGAAGCCAGCGCAGATGCGGAGTCCTGTCCCAAAATAGTTTGTAAATTCTCTGTTTGCTAGCGATTGTACATTTATACTTTGCACCTGTGTATTACATTATGTGCCATAGGCGCTGTACACGCAACTGAACCTTGTATTGTTCCGGAGTCCAGTGGTCTGCACGCATTAACTTACGGCAAATAACATTTGCGCGGCGATCTACTGTTTTGAGCGTGTAAACACTGCGATTTTATAAAAATGGGTGGCTTTAATTTTCGTTGATGCTTTGAGCATTTAATATTGACAGTGAAGTTTCCTGTAAACACTACTAGTTTGCGCCGCGGAAACTAGATGGCGCGAGCGTATATATTCAACTTGTTATTGATCGGTTTGCGACACTAGATGGCGCTAGTATGACCAATTTTGTTATTTATTTCTGCTTTACAGCATTGGCTGCGACTAGTCTTATCTCTTATCTCCTTCGTTGCCTTGCAGCAGGTAGTTTCACACCGGCCGCGTGTTGATCTAGACGTATTTCGTGTCTCGTGTTATATTTTTAGTTTTTAACACAGCAAATAGCTTTATATTTGTTCTTCAAACAACTATTTAAGTGTGTTCGGTTTTGTTAATATTTAATTTCGCGTGGAATACCAATAAGTGCGAGTTGTTTTATTTCTTACAATTTTGCAACGAAACGTGTAGTTATGCTTGTTTCACTTATCAGTGTTTGTGTATAAACAACTTTTTTATCGCTTTAGACTAGCGCCATGTTGAACTAGTGCATCATGCTGAGACAGTTTCAGTCTATTCCTGTATTCGCGTACATAAATGTTCTGTATTCGGTACATGAAAAATAATTATTATATTGGCACCCATTGACAATAGATGTGTTTAGTGTTTTGTTATCGATGACTTGTGCGTGTAACAGTACGTTAGTGATCCGACGGGACTTGAATTATTTCGATGCCGAGAATTGGGATAGCAATAGGAATTCTCTACACTCCTATCAATTTCAAGTAAGTGTAATCTGCATTTGTCCTCGCGAGAATATCACGGGCGCCTAAGCAAGTGATCCAAACATTGTCGGTTAAAATGCCGCTTGCAATATGCGATTCGACGGAAAGATTACTTGATGCACTGGTATGTCTGTAAATATTTTTTCATCATTAGATTTCTACCTTTAATCGCATTTTACGAATGTCATCATAACTCAATTGTCGCGCGCCGTCGGCTATGTATTCTGTCTCGCTGCAGAAAAATGTTAGTGACATGTTTGTATTTCTTCGGGTTTGCGCGCGATCTAGGCGGCTCACTAATTTCAGCGCGGTGTTTAGAGATGTTCAATTAAATTCTCCGTCGAGTGGCATTTGTTAGCGGTAGAAGTGACTCGATTCACGGCACCTTACGAGGCTAGCGATAAAAGTGACTTGTGTTCAGGGCACCGTAGGAACCCGCGCATAAAAGTGTGAATTTTTCTCCCTTTCTCGGGAATCGTTTGATTTTTTCGGATTTACGCGCGATCTAGGCGGCTTACTAACTTGAGCGCGGCGTCTAGAGGTGCGGAATTATATTCTCCGTCGGGTGGTATTTGTGTGTTGCAGGAATTCGACCTGCAACTCGCGAAAATTTGCATAAATGGGTGATTTATGTCACCTTTTCTCTTGCAATGTTTGTATTTTTTCGGGATTGCACGCGACCTTTTCGCCTCATTAACTTCAGCGTGGCGTTTGGAGATGCGGAATTAAATTCTCCGTCGGGTTGTATTTATTTGTTGCAGGACTTCTTCCTGCAACCCGCGAAAATTTGCGTAAAACTGTGATTTCTCATTGTTTTTCCGGGCAATGTTTGAATTTTTTCGTTTATTGCAACTTGTTTGTTGGTAGTAGTGAGTGCACATCGCCTAAGTTGGCGAATTGCGGGCCCGGTAAGATTACGCGGTTTTGTACGTCACATTGTGTTTTCATCAGTTTGTTTGTTTACCTCCGCCAATCTTCTTGCCGTGTGAACTCACGCGCAGCGATACGACTTAAGTGTATTGCATTCGGGCAGTCGCGCGTACCTGTGCGGTGCTTCTCGCGAGTTGCAATGACGAAGTGTTAATTCGGTAAATCGCGTTGTTTTCAATGCAGATATTGCTGCCATTTAATACTGGTGTTGGTGACTAAACACCTTCTGTTTTCGCGTTGAACCAGCTCCGTTCTGTTGCGCTAGCGCTACAAACGTTCGATCGTTTCAGTTCGTTCTTAGCTACATGCGGCTCGCCACTTTTTTTTCTTTCATTTCATTGTTTTCAATTTCATTGTAATATCAATCTTGTTGCATATTTGATAAATGTGTTTTGAATATTTTTAAGTTGATAAATAATTTCAAAGGTTAGATGGCGCTACGATGTACGGTTTTGCATTAAATATTGCTTGTTGGTGGTAGTGAGTGCACATAATGCTCTGTTTCCGTCGGAATTTTGATGTAACTTTTGTTTGTAACATCCGCCGATGTACGACCGCTCTACACGCAAACCTTTCGCGCGCCTGCAACGCGTCTGTTTCACCTTATGTTATACGAGCTTTGCAGAGCTTTTCATCGCGTCGCTGGAACAAACATTGCATTGTTTGTGCTATTGTTTCTCTCAAATTCCTCGCTCGATAACGACTCACGCAACAACCGCTTTATACAATAGGGATGCAAGCAAGGATGCAATCAGTGTATCAAATCAAAAATCGAAAATCTTTGCACGTGAAATTGAAATTGTGAAATTTTGAAATTGTTTTGGGTCGCATTCGAGTACATTTACTTGGCTAAAATGAACAAACAACGATAATGCAATAAACAACCGTGTGCGTTAATTATTAGAGGGTGCTTGGGTACCGACATGTTGAACTAGAGAGCTACTGTGGTTGAATGGAGTAATCACACGCTGCGCGCACTGGTGGAGGTGCCGATTGGTGGCAGCGCCGGGCATCGGCTGTTTTCCGGACGCCGCCATCGCAAATGATTGCGTCCGACGTTAAAGCACTCGATGTGTTCGGATGTTACGTGCGTTAATACAGCTCCTAACGCGTGCCATTTACCAAATTGTAACAATAAACATCGAAGCAAGCGTCAAAATACGGGAAATACCGGGAAACCACGCACAGTTGTAACATAATATTATTTTACATTTACGAAATTAGATACTACATCAATTCAATAACATATATTAATTGCATTATTCATTTACTAAAATTTTAATTAGATAAGTTTTTAGTTTTGATAAAAATTACAATTTTTCAAAATTCCGGTTGTAAAAATATTTCATCTTGAAGATATATATTTCAAAAGAACAGGAAAATTTTCCTTTCACGTGAAAACTATCCGCGCTGACATGTAACAAGGCCATAATTGTGATGTATTCGGAAACAGGCGGCACTTTGGGCTTTTGTGAGTCCACCAAAAACGAGCGTAACCTAGCTGCAAAGTGCGCGCACCTCCGCCGCGGTGTGTTCAGCCCAACCTCAAGAGATTCGCTTCCATTTTGTACGATGAACAATGCGTTCGGACGTTACACGGTTCACGAGCGCACCGCGCCGCCCCTCGTCTCGTGATATATGCCGCTTTGCCCACTTCTAGAAACCATTATTGCTCGAGTGCAAATTCAAAATTTACGGACGCGAAATAACACAAAGTGGTTGCGGATGAGCCAAGCTGGGCCCGCTCGCGTCCGGCTAGGGACGACAAAAATTCAAATCGAGCATCATCAACCGAGCAGTACAAAGCGCAAATTGAAATTGAAGCTCTCATTATAAACGTATCCCCCTGAGGCCTCCAAACAAATTGGAAATTTATATCAAAAACTATCAGCAGCAATTTAGTATAAATTGTAAGTTTCATTTTATTACGAAAATTATATCTGGGTATTTACAAAGGTTTTATTTTATTTTTAGTCTTGTCGGTTTTTTTGTCGTCTTGAATTTTTGCTTGCGCAACTCGTAAAGCGTCCTTTGTGGCAACGGATGGTCAAAGCTTCACTTTAATCCTTCTGCGCGACAAGCTGCAAAGCTTTGAAGGGATTACTTTTCATGCTTTTTGTTTATTCCTGGAGTGATTTTCGTATTTTATCACGCTCTTGAAACAATACAGTAATGGAAAGCACCAAGCGAAATTAAAATCACACATAAATTTTTTGTGCTTTTCATTTCTGTTGTTGCGTACACTTTTAACCTGTTATTCGGTTATTTTGACATTTCGAGTATTATCAGCACGAACGATTTTGAATTAGCTCGGTATTTTGTTTCACTTTTCACTTGTTATCATTCGACGCGTATTGTTTAGGGCTTTTTTTCCCGTCGGGTTTTTTCTGTTGGCTTTGAGCCCCAAAGATTGTTTGTGCTTTGTTTCCTGCCTCAGACCCATTCGCCATTATTCGGCACGCTCGTTTCGGTCTTTACGGTGTTTGCACTTTTTTGTCACATCCATCGCGCGCGTTTCCGTTTCTCGACGGCGCATACGTGATATGTGTGTGCCCGCACGCGTTCTTTTTAGAATTTTACGGCTTTCCCACACTCACCCGCATCCAGATTTGGGGACTGGTCGGTTCGCTCAAGCGTTTGATGTCTTTATGATTCGGCAAAGGGGCGGCGGAAATTGCTTACGCTATTCTGCATATTGTCTCCAAACGAAAGTGCCAAAAACGCATTTCTAAGCAAAAATTTATAGCCACATAAAGATCAGTTAAGAGAAATTCATTTTGTATCACTTCAGGTAGGAAATTATGATTGTGTATTGTAAATTAAGTGTGAAAAATCAAATATTTATATTTTTTATGACAAATTTATTGGTACTCAATTTATAGTTGAAACGACTCAATAAAAATAGCAATTTGCGCACTATTGTAGAATATGTAT